TTAAATATCCAATCTCATCATCCCAATTTTGGAAATTGTTTATGGTATCGAAAAATCATGCATCCGAGTGATTAGTATCTCCTCTATGTCCTCTATGCTCTTCTGAGGGATACACTGGTGTATGAATCAATTGGCCTCCACCCACCTCCATTGAGCTGGAAGTCGATTTGGGGAATGAAGCTTCGAAATTGAGGTGGCTAATGGTCTTTGTTTTTTGGAAAAAGTCCAGAGTGAATGATATATATTTTTTATATTGTGTTTGGAGGCAAAGGGTTTGTTTAATAGTGTTGCAAATGAAATTCTCTCTTGAAAGAAAAAATAAAAAAAATTGAAAGGATACAATGGTGACTGTGATGGTGTGGATATGACGGCAGTAGTTGAAATTGCAAGGAAGATGAAAGAGATTAAAGGAGGAGAGAGATTGAATAAAGATAATAAATATGAACTATGGTAAATTGAATATTAATGTAACAAATATTAACTATGGTTACGATAAAGTAAAAAGTGTTAATTGACTATTTGACTTTTGGTCTGCTGAAAAATCCGTTCTTCCGTTCTTATATATATATATATATATGGGACAATACTTAGCTACTCACCGGTGAGTAGCTTCACCCTACTCACTCCTTAGGTGTGTGAATAATAAAATAACACATCAATTTTAATAAAAAAATTATCAAAATAATAAAAGAAGAAGAAGAAGAAGAAGAAGAAGAAAATTGGATAGACCCTTTTAATTAGGGAACCACCCTTTCTCTTTTATCTCTCCTGTTTCATGGAATCCAACCCACGCCCTCCTCTCTCTACTGTTCTTCTTCTTCTTCACCCCCTCTCTCTTTTTATTTCTCTTTTTATCGCTTCACAAAATTAATTGTCAAAATTGCTGGTGATGTTGCAATTTCACGGGAGGGGGTTTGTGAGTGAGAGCAATGATTCGGTGGCGAACAACTTCTCCCTGTCAGCGGATAGCAAAATTGGGTTACGTAATTGTTCTTGGCAAATCAAATGAAAAGTCAGCTAATCCTTATTCTGACACCGAAGATCATAACTCACACCAAGGAACCTCAAGGCAAATCTTTATTCTGATACCGAAGATCATAACTCACACCAAGAAACCTCAAAGCGAATGACCAGGTTTGTTTTATGAATTAGATCCCCAAAGGCAGAGAAGAAGAGGTATAGGCTGGCGCCAGATAATCGGTATCCGGCAGCCTTTGAAGATGGGTTTAAGGTGTTGCATTGGCTGACATAGCAGGCAAATTTGTAATATATATATATATATATATAAACAGATTTAAGCTATTCTGTTGCTCTTTTGGTTTGGTTTAATTTTGTCAATTAATTTTGTGAAGCAATGAAACAGAAAAATAAAAAAAGAAAGGATGAAGAACAGTGGAGAGAGAGGAGGGCGTGAGTTGGGATTCAATGAAAGAAACTGGTCCGACTTGTTTTTATTTATTTATTATTTTGCTAATTTTTTTTTTTTTATTAAAACTGATAATATTATTTTGTTATTGAAACACCTAAAGGGTGAGTAGGGTAAAGCTACTTACATAAGTAACTAAGCATTGTCCATATATATGTGTGTAAACAACTACTTTCATATCATTTTATATATATAGTAAAAATATAATTTAAAAAATAAAATAAAATAATCAATTCTCATAATGTTACTCGTTTTGACAAATAAAAAATAATAATAATAATAATATAAATTGTGATTATAGGAATTGGATGTGAATCCATATATAGCGCGCACACATATATATAGTTAAAATATAATTAAAAAAAGAAAATAATATATTCCTGTATTTTTTTTTTTTTTTGGCAATCTAGAATGTTATATAAGGGATAAAACTGAAGAGAAGAGAATAAAAGGAGAGAGATAAGAAAAGGTTAAAGGATAATTTTGTCATAAAAAATTATATTTCTAAATTTTCTTAAAGGCCGAAGATATCTCATAAATAAACTTGTAATTATAAGAATTGTAACCAATAAAAAGCACCAACTGTGGAAGAGTAGCCGTGCACCCCATATTAATAACATCAATAATTGAGTTTCTAAACCACACACCTATCAAATTATATCTATAATGTAATAAAGTAGTCATCAAATTTTCCTAGTAACATCAGTTTATTATTCTGGTAAAATAGTGTATGTGTAATAATTTAATTAACAATTTAATATGTTTAATTGTGTTTAATGGTCAAGGTAAATTTGTTTAATTAAAAAATAATGTATTACAATAAGGATATTTAAGTAATAAACTATCAAATGGTCACTTGCTAGTAATAAAGTTTTAAAATTTGTGTAAACCATTTTTTCTTTTCTTTTCCCACAATTAATAATATATAAATACAAAAAAAAAGAGACGATGTTAAATATATCTATTAAAGATCCTTATTGGAAATGACCAATTAATATTAATGCTAAATATATCTATCAAAGATCCTTATTTAATCTGCATTTTCATGAAAAATGATGATAATGTCATTGAAGAAGCACTGTTTATAAGTACTATTGTTATGAGAGGGCTGTCTTCTTAGCCTTACTGTTGTTATTTTATACTACTTTGCTGACAATTTTTAGTGAAGGCTTTAAAAGTCAATGAATGACGCCAATTACATGTACGTATTTATAACCCTTCAAGGATGCAAATAAACACAGAAACTGTTGCCATGTGGAAGGTGAATACGTATATGGCATACAGTTGTGCCTTCAAAAGACTGAAAAAATAGGTTAGTTGATTGAGTTAATTTGATAATAATTGCTTAATTATGGCAGTTTGTTGAACAATTCTTCTATTTAAGTCTAAGGAATTCTTTTTGTGGCAGAGATTTTTTTTTTTTAGGCAAATACTCACACACACACATTCACATATGTCCATTACGGGATTAGAATCCCTTACCTAATCTTTACCTATCTTTTGAAAGATGAAATATTATACCAACTGAACTAATGATCTTGCGATAATTTTTGTATGGCAAGAGAAGCCGTTGTTTTCTTCTTCTTTTGTTTTTATTTATTTATTTATTTTTCCCCAACATTTTTATAATATCGTATTTTTTATAGGGAGGCGATATGTATTAATAGTTAATAGTACTATACTATTTGATAAATGCACTCGACTTTTAAAGTAAGTCGATATTATCGTTCTTAACTTTATAAATGAGAGATGGGCAACACGGAAAGTTTTTTTTTTTTTTTCATTTATTTTTTTTAAAAAAATTATGGAGTGCAATTATCAATAGTGAATAACATCGTCTCTTTTTTTTCTTTTTTTTTGTATTTATATATTATTAATTGTGGGAAAAGAAAAGAAAAAATGGTTTAAAAAAAGAAAAAATAATTTGAAAAGATGAAATTGTCCCTTAATATTAAAATCAATTTAATTGTAAAATATTAGACATATTGAAATGTTGAAATTACCCTTGAGTTAATATGAGCTATAAAATGATGCCAATTTATTATGCTGAAATTCATTAATTTCTCTCAGGTGTTGTAATATTTTGATTGCGGATTTTTTTACCAAAGATTTCTTTGTATGTTTAGTTATTGTATGAAAATTTTCGTAATTTTTGGCCAAACAGATATTTTTATAAAAATTCAACAATAGCTACTGTCTGGAATTTTTCACTTTTTGAAATCAGGTTTTTAATTTATTTATTTGACAGCCTTCTTAACATCTGATCATCACCAAAATTTTCAGTTTTATACATCCGTGAGTCTCTTTCCAAAACATTTTTGTTTGCTCCATTTCAATTTCAAATGAAATTTCTATGAAATTTTTATTTATTGCTGTGCAGATTTTTCCTTTAAATCGGCACTTCAAGTTTTTTGCTCCAAATATTAATAAGGAATAGATTGGTCCAATTCATTAAGTTGTAAAGTTAAAAAAATTCACTAAACAATGAAAGGGCAAGTTGGTTAATTTCCCATGTGTCATATGTGGCAAGTGGCTACAGGGGTGTTTTTGTAAACTTTTTTGAAGTTTAGGGGTGCCATTGTTAAAAAAATAACCAACTTGTATATGACTGTTTAGATGACGGACGTGGATCCTCTAGGTTAAATCTTTTTCTAAATTATTCTAAATTGAATTATCTGCATATTGACACGTGACATTTAAAATCTATCTACTGCTTGTGGTAAATCACGTCAACTAATTTAAAGGAAGTTTGAAAACTGTTTTGAGATAAAGAAAATTTACTAAAGTTTGAAAACTGCACTGTTTTGAAATAAGAAAAATTCATCCTATTTTAACGACGTTAAAATCGTTCTCTCTCCTCATTTTTTCCAAAAAAAGATCGCTCATTCTCACATTGGGGAATATTTCATTCCAAAAATGAATGTTTTCCCATGATTAAACATTCTCCTAATTGTGAGAATGAGCAAGAGGAGAGAAAATGAGCGATCTTTTTCGGAAAAGATGAGGGAGAGAGAACGACAAGTCCCTTACTTGACAAACAAAGCGGTCGCATAGGAGCTCCAATTTGAAAGGGTCTCAAACTTAAAACATAATGCAAATATGTATATATATGTGCGTGTGTGTATATATATATATATGACTTTCGGTATTAAAGGTCCATACATACTTATTTTTGAAATTTCAGAATTTCCCTAGACAAACCTCAAGGTATCATTGTACTAGATTTTCATATGAACTCACACAATTGTAAAGGACAGTTCTTAGACTTAGTTTTGATTCAACTACAAAGGACGGATATAAGGAAATGATCAAAGATATATCTAATTTTGACACTATTTCGATATATCATCACATCAAAGGACAAACGTTACACGCTTGAATAAATAGGAGCACCATATAATGTTAAAAAATAATTTTTTGGGAATAATATATTAACTTTCTTAAAAAAATAATCAAGTCAACTAAATTTATTTGTTTTATGAACTCACAATCCGCACGTGTATTTTTGCACCACAAGGCCCATTTCACACAGTCGGGTGAGGGTCAAAAATGTCGCCGACATACAAAGGAAACGGCGTCGTTCTAAATAAGTAAGTATATAAACAAACCCAACTCTATTGCTCCGAACGTTTCACCTCTGGTCGGAGAAGGAGAAAGCTGTGTCTAGGGTTCCGGCGATGGCGATGCAAACTGGCATAGGGTTTTCTAGGATCCTGTTCCTAGCTGGAGCAGGTATATAATATATCTGTTTGTATATGTATATCTATATGCATATGTATGAACAACATAGGTGATTGATTTCGTTACCCAACTGTCCTGCCTTTTAATTTCGACTTCGTTTTGTATGTGACTGCGTGTGTATATACATGTACAGGCTACACTGGTTCGGTCCTTATGAAGAATGGTAAAGTATCTGATATAGTCGGCGAAGTTCAGGTACTCGATTATCACTTCCTCACTGATCTGGTCTTATGTTGTGTTGTGCAAATTCAAATATAGACCAAATGAAACAAAACGCAATTTTCGTGTGTGTAGCGAAGGAACAAATTGGTATTATAGTTTAATACATGGTGAATTTTCAATTGGCATGATTGGGTTTGATTTCTAACCAAGAGAGACAATTTTGATTTTGGTTGATTATCTTATGTGTATGTTCAGTTTAATGTTTAAGTGAACTAATTTAAATGTTAATTTGGTTCTTGGCAGTCACTGTTGAAAAGGTTGGATGCGCCTGAGGATTCGTCAAATGCTGACTCGGGGGATGCAATTACTGCACAGGTGTCTTTTATGATAGAAAGCAGCTAAATTGAACAATGAATTATTTTATTGTTTCTTAATCATTTTTGCTAATAGGAATGAAAACTGGAATGACAAAATTGACTTCATTTATTTATTTATTTTTTTTTTCTCTCTAAGATTTGGCAAAATTTTTGGTTTTTTTGGTGTAGCTCTCCTTTTTACATAAGTTGTGTATTTTTAGGATTTACCTTTACTTATCTAAGAAAATGTGGAGTTATGTTTAGATAACAATGGATGTTGTTATATGAAATTTTATTGATGCATGGGTTTGGCTTATGAGCTTTACATTTGAGCCTACCTTCTTAGAGGCCATGTTAGGGAGTATTGCTTTGTTGCTGAAGATGATGCGCTCTATATAATATGGTAAAATGTGTTTTTTTTGGGGGGCTATCTTAAAATGTATACGTTATAGAATCCAGATCTGAACGCCGGGATTGGTTTTTAGTTTCTCATTACTTGCAGACTATATGAATTTTATATATCATTGGAAGTAGTGACCTTAAATTGCTCTCCGTGCTGCAGTAAACTTTGATATCAAAATGTTATTGATCCATTAAGTTCATTTTGTTATCATGGAATAATTAAGAGCTAAAGCAACTGCATAATGTTGTATTACTTATAGCAGTCCATTCTTAGTTACTTATATCGCTGTGTGTCCCATTCTTAATTGAGATATTTATTCTCTTGTATTTGATTTCTTTCTTGGCTGTCTTGTAGGTGCGTCGATTAGCAATGGAGGTCCGACAACTGGCCTCCGCACGACAGATAACAGTTCTGAATGGGGATTCTGGACAAATCGGTATCTCCTATCTATACTTTATTATAGCTTATAATACTGTTACTCTGTTTCCTTTTCACTTATAATATAAGTAACACGATCATGCATCATGATTATATATGCATTTTTTTTCAGTTGATAAATTCTATACCTGCACTCTCGATACTAGTATTAGAGATCTGGACACTTTTTTTTTTTTTTTTTTTGTTGATATCATTTTATCTATTTGTTTTTACATCTCACTTTTTCTTTCTTTTTCATTTGTTCTTGTCTTTTTCTTGTCTTGTCTTTTTACACATGCAGGAAACATAACATCTCTTGTAGTACCAGCTGCTGCCGTAGGTGCATTGGGTTACGGATACATGTGGTGGAAGGTAGGATAAAAAACTACATCTTTTTTTTATAAAAAAAAAAAACTGATTTTTTGTTGTTTCTTTCCAGTATCTTTGTGGACTACTTTTTTTTTTTTTTCTTTCCCAGTTTTGGGAATGGTTACTTTCTGTTGAATGTCCTGCCTTTTCCTTTTCCTTTTTTTTTAAGAGATCGTTGTGTGTTTACTTTTCATGTAAATTGATTCTTCTTTTCATGTAAATTGATTATTTGAAGAGACTAACTCAATCTTTTGTTTTGCTTTTTAAAAAATTCTTAGGGTATTTCATTTTCAGACCTTATGTATGTAACAAAGCGTAATATGTCAAGTGCTGTTTCAAACTTGACCAAACATCTGGAAAATGTATCCGAGGCTCTTGCGGTAAGTTCACAGATTATAATTTCTTCTTATTTGATGCTCTATTTAGTAGTTTCTTTGATGGTAGTTGTGCATTATGACCTGACAATGAAGTCTATTGTGATTAACTAATAGATCTACTTAGCTCTACTACATTGTTCATTGTTGTGCCTTTACATGTATCATGAATCGTGCTGAATATGCATTTTTTTGTCCATTATCTTGTTGTTGCTTGAACCAAGCATTATGTTTTGTCATAAACATAATGATGAAAAATAATTTAGTTCCATGTCAAATAAAATTTGATGTTTGTTTCAGCATTAAAAAAGAACCAACCTGACAATATTTTTTAAATTGAAGGCACGTTATTGTGGAGAGGTACTTCCACATTTTTATGTTAGTAGACATATACTTGTCTTGTACTCTTTCCGTCCCATTCTGAGTGTCTCTTTTTGGGAACCTATCTTTTTTAAGGTGTAGTTTTTAGTATTCTGTTATTGCATTGGTAGTTGTGAATAAATTACCAAATCTACCGATGGTGGGTCCAAGCGATGTGATTGATGTTTTGTTTTTATAAGTCCGATGCAAGAAGTGTAAATTGGGAATGTTGTAAAATATTGTACCTTGACTTTTGAATTGGAACAATTATTTTATGACAGCTAATTATGGAAAGGCGGACACTTATTATGGGAGTGCGTTACCGTGTTAGAATCAAGTCATAACAGTTTGTTACATCTGGCTCCTAGTGATTCTTCTATGAGAACTTCAATGTAAAGAAGCTTATCTCCACATGAGAAGCACCACAAATCATTGATCTCTGTTATATAGGCACGTTTCTTGTTGTCTGTCAGAGCGGACTAGACCAAAATAAGTGAGCCCTTTAATTAGGGAAAAAAATTGTTAAAAAATAAGTGAGCCCTTTTTACATACATACAAGATTTGTTTGTTAAAAAATTGTTTTCCTTTTGAAGTAAATTTGTGCCAAGTTGCAATCTTCATTTTAACACTTCATAAACATTTATGGAATTCGTTTGCAGCTAGTCAATTGTTGCTAAATCTTGTCTTTTGACCAGGCAACAAAGAGACATTTGACACAGCGAATCGAGAACTTGGATGGGAAACTGGATGATCAGGTGGAGATATCGAAGATAATTAGGAATGAGGTACATGCATGAGAGGGGTTCTGTGATGTCTTTATGTGTATATTTGGGCAGGCTGATCAAAGAATCTGATTATGATTTAAATCTGCTCAGGAACGGCATAACTATTTTTTATCAAACATTTGAAACAGGTTACTGATGTTCGCGATGATCTTTCTCATATTGGAATCGACTTGGATGAACTACGGAGAATGGTTTCTGGCTTGGTGAGTTGTACATTTTGAAATTTTAGATCTCACACTTGGTATCAATTCAGAAGAAATTTGTGAGTTTGATTTCATCTAATTTGTCAAAAGATCTTAGATGGAGAAAAGTCCCAAAGGAAGGGTATGTTCTTGTACTAAAAGGAACAAATCATAATGTTAAAGGCCATTTGTATTGAATTAATATTTCAAACTTTAAGAAATTAAGGTTAGCTGATTAACATAAGCTTTAAGAATCAAATCATTCAGATTGTCTTATTTTTTTAAGTATCTCTAGAAATCATCAGGAAAATCTCGACTTTGTGAACCCCTTCTTGTACTTCCAGCTTTTGTTGGACTGCTGAATAGTTTAAGATCTTAAAAGCTTGTGCCTTCACTCTCGAGGGTTTTTCAGAGTGTGTTAACTACATATTCGGTTTTACGGGTGGATTGGGTGATGCGAACTACTTGTTTTGTTTCTTTGATGTGGACTGGATTTGATACGAGATAGGGGCTAGCTTGTTTTTTTAATTTGGGAACTTCATATGGCATCTTCAGAGGGATAACCAGAGTCTTAATTGTTATTGGTAGAGTGGTCATTGCACACTGCCTGCTTTTCTATATAAACTAAAGTCACGCAGCATGCACTTGAGAAGATGGAGTTTAAGAATGAGAAAATAAGAGTCTCTGTTTAAGCATTTGGATAATGCAGTATAGAACTCTCTCTCTCTCTCACTCACTCATATACAACATGGAATATAAGGTCTAACTATCTTTGACAAGTGGAGCTGTTCATTTGTAAGCTTTGCACTCATATGGAGTATTTGTGCTCTTGAAACATTGGGTACCTGTTTTTTTCCCCTTTTCTGAACTTATGCGAACTCCTGCCTCTCCTTTAAAAACACTGATCATAATGACTCTAGTGTCAAACGGAAGGGAGTCCCACTCTCTTTTAGACTCTAAAGCATTGACCTTTCACTCTTGATAGAGATCGGGATCCTAGTAATATGATAGCAAAGCATTGACCTTTCAGTCTTGATACAGATCGGCATCCTAGTAATATGATAACTGGATCATTAATAACTACAAGAAAAGACATCAGAGACTTATTTCGGAGTGGCTAATGCTTTGGTAGTTGACACAGTACAACATCCTTAGCATACAGTGACAAATTTTCCTGCCATTAGTTAGTTATTTATTATTCTGGAAGTCTTTCTTTACTTCTTGTTGATTGCTCTCTTTTTTCATGATTGTTTTTTGGTTTGCAGGATGGGAAGATTTGTTCGTTGGAATATAAGCAGGTGAAACTTGTTCCTTGTTTTATCTGATCTGAAATAACAAAGCATATTTTAGTATGGCACTATGACCCATTGACCAAAAATTCACCTTCAGTTCTTATTTCAGCCCTTGAGAAGTTTACAATTCAAAAGGACAAAAAAACCTTTAAGCTCTCGAGCTATCCACAAACTCATTTACCTCAGCAAAAGCTATACCAATTCATTAATCTGAAACCTAGCATTCTTATTTTCAATATATAACTTTTTTAATATATATATATATATATATATATATATATATATATATATATATATATTGGTGTTTGAATCGGCAGCCTATTGTAAGAGATTTAAAAAATAAAAAGTCATGTTGTACCTATTAACGGCTCCTTACAACCGGTTCCAAACCAGAAAACGAGAGTTTTGTCAGTTTTGACTGTCAATATAATACCTTTCAGACTCCTTATGGCTTTATTAAGTTGAGTTGGTAAAGCTTAAAAATAATAATAAATTATGAACCAAGCAATCCTGGCAATTTATTATTTTGGCTTAAACTGTTTTACTAAAGAAACATCAACTTAATTTATGTCGTCAATTTAAGAACCTAAGGTAACAGGTGTGAGCCATGCCCTCATCAACCCCCTCTCACACACACAAAAGAAAAGAAAAGAAGGCTTATCTGATCTTATTTTCAGTTTTACCTTCACTTGGTTGATCTTGGTATTTGTAATTATAAGTTGTATTCTACATATCCTACTGAGGGAAACGGCCTTTTGATCTGGCATTATGTTGATGCTTAAATTTTAGCACTTCATCTTTAATTATCTGCTGAGGGTAATACTTACAGAAGTTTGGCAACAGGATGACACGAATCTAGGCATTGCATACCTCTGCAACGTTGCTGATGGAAGAAAAGTGAAAATGCCTCAAAGACTGCAGGTTTGTACTGGTTGCTACATAAGTTTCAAGTTTTCTGCTGACTGTTTTTGGGTTCCTGTTGGCTGAATTTTTTGAAGATAGACTGGCAGCTTAACTGATTTGTGTATGTCATACTTTTAAGGTAGCAGGGTGATTTCGTGACTGTCTTAGTGCGATCACATTATAGATAACCATCAGCTCTAAAAGCTCGAGCTGGTAGAGTGATGTTACTTATTTATATCAAAATGTCCTCTACATAGTTTGACTTATCCCGTTAGTGATTTGAACACAATAATGTATTGTATGAGCAGAGAGGTTTGAACATGCAACTTGTGATGTGTGTTTGATACCATGACAACAAATGGCTGCCTTGAATGGAGAACGATGTAACTTATTTATATCATCACTACATTGTAATTCGCATGTTAATGATGTCATTTCATATGCTACCTGCTCTTTGTGGCGAGACTTTCATCAATCACATGATTATTGTATCCGCTACAGTAATGGCATATGTCTTTTCACTGCGATTAATTTAAGACATAAATCTATCTATGTAGTGGGCAAAATTGTTCACTTGGAACTTCTTCAGTATTAGTTTTGTCAATTTTTTTATGGTTTTTATATTTAAGTCTCAACTAAGAGTTGGTCCTATCCTCTATAAGCATTCGTTTATAATTGTTTGTTTCGCATGTTCTTGCAGGAACAATTTAAACTTTCTGGCCGGTCTCATGCTTATCTCACATCTTCAGAAAGTCCAAGTCTCAAGGTTTATTTTTTAAATTATAAGTTTTTTTGTTTCCGGATTTATTCATATATAAGCTAGTCATACCAGAAATAGAGTCTACGTTTCTTGTATCACAATCTAGTTGATGATGATATTTTCCTTCAAAGATTTTACTACCTCATTAGCTCTTATATTGCTTGCTTATAAAGTTTAAGGGTTAATTGCAATAACCCCCTTGAACTGCGTAAAATTGTCCCAAACTATGGTAAATCTGCAAATAAGGCCACAATCAGAAAGGGAGGTCAAGAGGAGTATGAAACGACTTGTTTGTCCTTTTGTGAAAGAATAAATAATTTTACCAAATAGTTGTTGATTTTTCAATACTAAGGTTGCTCCATTGTGACTTGGAGGTCATGGATTCAAATCACGGAAACAGCCTCTCAGCATGCGGGGGTAAGGCTACGTACATATGACCTCCCTAGACCCCGCAATGGCGGGAGCCTCGTGCACGGGCTTGCCCCTTTTTTAGTTGTTGATTGAAATGACGTCGTTTCAGTCGTTTAGCATACCCTAATTCAATCTGAGTGCTTCATTTCACTGCTGCATTATCATAGCTTGTCAACTCCCCTTTGGCAACTTTGATTGACCCAAACTCCGTCTACCCCATATCAACTTCCATTAATCTAATTTTTCATTTCTCCATCTCATATCTCAATCATCCTCAAGAAGCAAAACTATCTCTTCAGCTTAACTCCAGATCTTCAATGGGTAGGTTTTGTTAGATGTCTAGCTTTTATCTGTCAAAGTAACCAGAAAATATATATATATATATATCCAGGACTTGACAGATTGTATGCACTTTTAGGTTTTAAATAGCAGTAGTATGGGTTATAATGAGTAAGGTCGGGTCTGGCAAAATGGTCATAAAGGGTGTTCTCTGAATAGAGGAACAAATGAACATATGCTTTGCATTTGCAGAGGCAGTGGGGGATAACTTGCAAAAACTGTGATAGCTCAAGGTTTTATTTGCAACCAAAAAAAAAAACATAGTTTAGGGGTTTATTTGCACAGAATGACAGTTTAGGGAGGGTTTTTTTTTTCAAGTTTCTCTAAAGTTAAACGCCATTTTCATGTAATCACAAGTCACAAATTGGTTTTTACCATAAATGTATGTTTGATTTTGTGTAATATCAATTATTATTTTGAACTTGGGAACGAAATTTAAATCATTCAAATTGCACACTTAGATTTTGATGTAAATTTCCGAGCACTAATCCAATGAAGGAGGATATTAACTAAAGATCATGTTAGGCAGACCTAAGAATTAATTGTTTCAGAATCTAGTGTTCTTCTTTAATCGTAATTGGACTTAGTAAAGGGCTTTATGTGCATTTTATGTCATCTTAAGAAATCTAAAATTTATAAAGGCCTTGGATTTCCAATGAATCTATAATCTATAATTGTTTGTTATAAGTTATTGTAATTATTCCAGTATGAGCAATGTAGATTGAAGATGTTGAAATTTGGTTTTCTCAATTTATTTATCTATATATTTTGACAAGTGAAAGGAGGAAGACGATTCTTGTGTAAACATGTATGCAACTTCATTTGAAACCGAGTTACATTATGTTTGTTTTTGCAGGGTCTCAAAGAGATTGCGGATTCTTTAGCGTTAGGAAATGCCAATAAGGCAACAACGGATGGTGTCATGGAAGATGATATTGCTAAGATGGATGAGCTGCCTAGAGAACTGATGAGGTATGAACCAGAAAGTGCATGTTGAGAGAGAGAGAGAGAGAGAGAGAGATGTTGGGGGATTGCATATAGTAATATCGAAATGGATAATATTGTGATGTTGGGGGATTGCATTTAACTATTTAAGTATGAGATTTTATAGTTGAATTTTGTATGCACCAAATTACAACATGGCGGGAATGTTATCCACTTTGGTATAATTCTCCATGTCCAAAGCTTGATTATGGATTGGACAGCACACGCTTTCATGGTCATATGCCTTTTTAACTTTTGAGGTTTTCATTTAAAAGCATATATGAAAACTGTGATCATATCTTTCTCATGTTTTGTGATTTTGTATTGACATGATATTTTTACAGGATGGCTTCGACCAAGTGTTGATTGATATATTGGTAAAACAAGCGGCTTTCTTTTCGGCATACACGTGGAGGAAGATTACGTAATTTCCACAACAGAAATTTCAGTTATATATGTGGTCATACTAAATTTGATGTGTTACTACAAAACAAATTATTGAGTTAATGAATTGTCTTGCTGTGAATCATTGAGGTGCTTGTTTGATTTTTTACTTTACTGAATGGAGGTCGAAGATCCTGTGACTTCACCTGGCTCAAATGGTTGTTGAGTGTCAGGTGGGGTGTGGGTTTTGGTGTGTTCTTATCACATTTTTGTTGTTTAAATGACGCAGTCTAGTACTTTTGGGAATGAGATTGGAGCTCCTCCCTAAAGGGCTGATCCTGGAATTGTTAATGGGGGTGGGCTAATACTAGTAATATAATATTGGACTGGGCTAAAATTGACTTTATATATATATATATATTTTTTGGGTGGGCACAAATCCACCAGAGCCCATTCCTAAATATGCCCTTGAACTCTTTTGTATGACTGACTGACTACATCCATAATCTAAAAATTTATTACATGGTCCAGAATTACATGATCCTGGACAATTACAATTCGACACAGCAAGTAAAAATCTAACCGAATATTTTTTATTCATTCATTTAGTTATTTATGCAAAATATAATCAAGGACCCGACTCCTTTATTTTTGACATAAATGACCAATTAAAAAATAAGCTTGTGATCTTTCCTCAAAAGAAATGAAGCCGCTTGTGATCCAAGAACTGACAATATGAACAAAGAATACTCCAACTAGTAAAAAAAAAAATGAAGAATATTGTATAATACAGTTCCGAAGGAGCAACAAATATATTCAATGAAGACTGAATAGTACTACCAAAAATATCATAATTACAAAATGAAAAGTGAATAATGTTGGCCTCATGATTACAAAATTACGGGAAGACTATAGAGAAAACTAACACGATTACAAAATTAAAAGTGAATTATATTGGTGAATTGCAATTAAACTCGGCCCAATCTTTTACTAAAAGGATTGAGCCGAATACAAAGATCCTAATTGCATATATTTTGGATAGATACATACTTATCTAGATATATAAGATTTGAAATAAAAAATCTAAGACTGAACAATTCTATTATTGTGTTGGATCCTGGTTACAAAATGAAAAGTGAATTATATTGGCCTCATTATTACAAAACGAAAAGTGGGATTATATTTGGCCTCATTCATCTTTCTTGGCAAGTTCATGTCTTTTTTTCTGTCCAACTTCAACAAGCAATGTCAGAAGAGCCTCACAGACTTGAGATGCATCTGCTTCAGAAGGGTCATCATTCAATGATGAATAGACCATCCAAGCATGATCGAGTTTACGCTGTGGCCTCACGACAACAGAGCCAGGGACTTCTGCATCCCGACGAGTTACAAGCCCGTCACTCTTCTCGCCGTACCTGACCTGAAGTAGCTGGGCACATGCAGCCATTGCAGCACCAAGGGGCATCACCACGGGGAGTTTTGCAGGTTGGCCTGCAGATAGTGGGGCAACCATGGGTACTTCTGCATGTGCAACTCGAGATAACGTGGCCAAAACTGCAGGAGAAATGCTGGCTTCTGTATGACATGAAACAACAGGGAGTTCTCGTGGCAAAGGGTTTTTGCTCAGGAATTCTTTCCTCTTCTCATAAGTCAGATCTTCTAGAGCTTGCATGTCACCCTTCAAAACAGCTTTAAAGATTAGAATGCTTTCATCAATGAAACACTGATCAAATGAACATATTGAAAATATTATCCTACATAATTCTCAAGCACATGAATACTTGTATATTGAGAATATTATCCTACATAATTCTTTGGTAGTGTCATGAATACCACCGTCAATGGGTAAATAATTATTTCAATATTTTCTTTGAACAGAAGCAGATAAAGTTTACTAGTATCCACTTAGATTCTTCAGTCAAGGAAAACTGTTTTCCATATAAATGCACCATGACACAATAACATAAGATGTGGAAACCATTTCAGACTACTGTTAAGTATTGGCAACAGGCCTGACAATTATCTAGAAAACCAAGTTTTGATCCAGTTTGTGTCTGTCGCATTGGTGCATACATGATCAAAGAACATGCCTAATTGAACTTTAACAGCAAAAATTTCTTTGGACACCACAAACACATTTTACTATAAATTTTCATATATCCTGGCTTACATCATCAGTCCTCTGAACTACAGTTTCACACGCTTGTGAATTGAGCAAAGTAAATCATCCGTTGCAACTTTACATGGTGTCCCTATAAGCATAACACTGGTTCTTCTCATTATGTAATTGTCATTAAGCAGGAAAGCAAACAAAAACTTCAAACTGAGGAACGGTTAAAACCTCTGTATCTCCCTCAATTAGTTGTGTGTGTGTGCACAGCGATACACGGGATTTCTACAACTCCTGCAGGCTTCAGTTACCAGTACCAAAGGGTCATGTGAGAGTCCATGGGTAATTTGAACAGAAACACTATCCCAACTTAGAAAAAAAGGCTGAACTAGTTCACGAAATTACACATCTATTCTAGTGTGCTTACAAAGATGCTCTTTAAAGTATCACCAATTTCTACACTACAAAATTAAAGATCAGACACGAGAAATAAAACTAGAATAGGGAACAAAACACGGCATATCATGCGAACACAGCAATAAGAAAGTAGAACTTTACCTTAATTACTTTACAGATCAGGATCTCCATGAGTTTCCGTACATTAACATAATCACCAAGCTGTCCCTCTCTCAGTATATCTGAAGCAATTGGACTACCACCATATGGACTCTGAGCTAATGCCAACCCAGCAACTTTATCTTTCAAATCAGCCCAGTACATGGATAAAGCAGCAGCTGCATCTACTCCACCTTTGCTATGTCCAAGAAGCAGGACACGTTTCTGGGAACCCCAATAGATTTCCTCAATGTACTCTTTTATCTCTCTAGCATTTTTTGCAACTGAAGCCTGAATATTAGATGTTCAGTATGGGACCCAATGAGCAAAGAATTACAGACTAGTTGGAGTAACCAAGCATACCTCGCTGTGAATCTTGGCAATATGACAGGCCAGACCCATCTTGGAGAAGCTTGTTTTTGTATTAATAAAGTAAAGTGGACCATGGTTACTGAAAAGTCCTGCAGATAAATGTGACCAAAACTAAGGAGCACTTAGATTCAACCCAAGTTGCATTAACCCTGAACAGTCGAAAAGGAAATTATATCATGAGCATGACGGCTAAAGAACTTCCTTCTCTTACCTCTGCCATGCAAGTGATGCCAGGCCAATTGAATCAGAGATTTGTAGGAAATAAATTCCTATCAAACATTTGACTACTATTTTAATCTAAAACCCATTTTAATAGTCTAAATTTCATTTTCAGACTCGCTTAGTTTTACTACAAAAGTCTCGGGTCTTACCAAGAACCTTTAACCCATACGATATCAAGAATTTCAAAAATGACAAAGAAACTGAATCAGAGGCTGATCTCGCCATTTGGATATCTTGGGAAAAGTAAGAGTAGTTGGCCTAACTATAAAAGATATATTACGGTAGTTAATTAAAAAGGCGATCATTGCAGCTTAACCTACATAAGCATACATATGAGTCAATAGTCCGCATTGGAGTCACATGCTTTTACTAGTCTGATGCTTACAATTGTAGGTAAATGATCTATTCAGTAGTAGGGAAGTGAAAGGAAAGGGAGGAAGGGGGGGAATAGAGAAGGGGATTGAAGATAGAATATTCCCCTTCCAATTTGCCAACCCCCTTCCCAATAAAAAGCATAAAGATTAACTGACTGATGATCCTAACCTACGACCTTCACCATATTTCTGCACAAAATGAGAGAAACACTTAAACAGAACACATAAATATGAGAGATACATTGACCCAAACATGTAATTTGTTAAGCGGTTTGAATCAACCATCATTGGGACCCATCAGAAATGACCTTCACATGCATGACATGCCATATAGCAGCTGGGGAAGAAAGGTTTCTCACACTATCATGCCCAACTGAAGTAGTACTACTACTATATTGGGACATAAAGTATTTTTTGCTACCTGGAACCAACAAATAAACCACCGAATTTGGCAATTTGTGTAGACCATGCCTGATAAAGGGAGAAGCAGCTTAATCAGCAATTGTAACCAAGCCACGGAATGTAGGCATGTGAAATAGCACCAACCATAAACAAGCAAGGGAATGTAGGCATATGAAAATAGTAAAGAACCTCATTTTACCTAATATCATCAAGTATTTCAATAAACCTCTCTGTTCCATCTTCAACTGGAGGCATTTCTGAAGCACGTTGTAACCATCCTATGTCATCTGCGGACCCACGAACAGTCCTTCGTGCCCGTTCAATGAGGCTGAAGTTCAACATCACCATGATAAATTCATTCGCATTGATAAATCTTAAACAAAACTGATTGTGCTTATGCAAATCGGTAACTCCATCAAGTAAAGGATATCTTTATGCATCTGATGAATATTAAATCATTTTGTTATTTCGTTTAAAACATCTGACATGAATCCGATTCATCCTAGTAGTTGAAAAGAATTTACTTTCTTTGCAAGTCAGGCTTACATATATAGAAGTTTCATGCAATGAGGAACACAATCCTCCATAATTTTTGTCAAAAATACAAAATCCAGTAGCATATGTTGAACTGAATGGTTCAGTTCCAGGGCAGAAGACATGTTCTCTGTAATGACTAGATTTCCCATGCATGTGTGACACAAGGCTGCATATTGTTCTCTCCTACAACATAACCTTCACACATTGGCCAGAAGAAATCATAATAGAAGTACATAATACATTAGAAGTGTACTACATACCCTACAGTTTTCTAATACATCACCGATACCAGAAACTTCTAAGACATCTAAAACCTATCATGTCAGGTAGGAAGGTCACATACCAAAGGTTAAATAAAGTGTCCCTCATATGTTATGTATCATTCACTAATATAATTATTACAAATCAAGGGCTTTGTGGTTGAAGTGTCAGCTTTTACAAACAAGGGAGGTAGTACAGAAAATGGAAAGAAGTGCTTACATCTTGGCTGCAGAGGAATTTGATGATGTTTTCAAAGAAAGAAAGAAATTAAGGAGGTCAGAGTACTGTCAGGGCACAAGGGGAAACAATTAAAGAATGGGAAAGTAAAAAACAAAAGAAAAAATAAATAATTTTTTAATCAGGCGTCAGCACAAAAATAAAATGGAAAAAGATCAGATATACGTTATAGCCATTGGCCACATTTTTTTTGATTAAAAATGCATTCCTATAGAGTAGTCATAACCTAGCAAAGGATAATTGGGATAGGAAAAAAAAAAAAAAGTAACAAATTTAAAATCAAACATTATGTATACAAGAAGACAAAACATATGACTAGTGAAATTGCAAAGATCACATCTAATTAAACATCTTAAATAAAGTTTTACTAGGTCATTTTAGTGCTACGTTCATATTTAACATCAGATTTGTTTTAAAAAATTTAATCATGAAACTCATCCATGCTTATCGAAATAATAAATACCCTTGGAAAAGAGAAATGCCATTTTGGCTGGAAGGAGTTGATTGCACAAGCGTACTAGCATTTTGAGATAAATCTCCTGCTGAACTTCTTGTTATTCCATCATGTGTAGGAGGAGCATCAATTGCTATATTACATGATCCAGAAAAAACTGAAAGACTTCCACTTGGAGACGTATCGGTGTGAGCAAGAGATCTATGGGATTCTTCAGAAACAATTGTAACCATTTCCTGTTGATCAGGATCCTCGTATGAAGGCTCCACTGCAACATGGGACAAAAAAGAAAAAAGTGATCACCTTAACCAATTATGATGCTTAACTTGGAGAAAGGTACAGCCTATAAACAAATCCATGCAAAAAAACAAATATATAGAACACCAGATCTTATAGAGGAAAGGGAAACATGCAATCAGAAAACCACCAGGAAACATCAGCAGAGCTAAGAAGTTCTAATACTGACAAGCAAGAAAATAACCAGCCTGGTTCCAAATTAAAATCTTCATTGTAAGAAAGTAGAGCCAGTAATAGAACACAGCAAACAGTACTCATCTAAAAATCTTGAACATAAAAATCAGAAATGGCCAAATTGGTAGGCCATTGCAATCCATGGCCTTAAAAATCAGAAAGTGTGAAAATGAGAACTCTAGGAAAAGGCATATAATGGAATAAGCTCTCAAGGGACAAGCAAATATTTGTACCAAAAAGAAGAGCCCCAAAAAAAACATATTGTTTAGCAAGACATAATTGGACAAATTTTCAGACTCCAGAAGCCATTAAGTCTTATTATACATTGATGGTAATTAAACTTTGATTTATTTATTTTTTCAAATTATAAGAAACTGATTTATTTATTTATTTATTTATTTTTATGCAAACTGTCAATCCAAATGTTGCTACATGCTAAAGACAGTGCAGACACATGTATAAACAAAAAAATAAAATAAATAGAAAATAAATCAAAACAGCAATATCCTCATAAATCCTTCCTCAACTAACATATACTTTGTTAACATAAACACCCATAAATCTTAATAGACGCATTAATGCTAAAAATAAATAAATAAATAAATAATAAATGCTTGACATGAAGGAACACTTTCCAGGATGATAAACCTGATTTGTATATTATATTTCCATACCGAAAAATAAGATAAGCAAAACGAAGGAGAGAAGCAGAGAGAGGGAGAAAGCCCACCAGAATAATCAGAGAAACAGCTGGTTAACAATGAGGTCTTCTCCACCAGATAAGAAGCAGCTTCATTGATAGCTGGAACGGAGGGAAATAACTGGGGGATAAGACGGTCATTTCTCAAACCGTTGTTTGCCTGACAAACAAAGGCAGCTGTTACAGAGATTTCAGATAGTCGACTAGCTTAACAGATTTTCAAGAAGGGAAACATGGACCTTAAAAGAATTAAAAGCATGATATGACAGAGATGCAATGAGCAGCATATTACAAAATGTAAGATCCTTTTTAACGGTAATATCCAATGGATGTAACTAGAAATTTGTTATAATATGCATGTGGAGTCATATTACACGAGGCAGTTTCAAATAGAATACCCAAAAGTTGCGGAACTTTTTCAAATAGAAACACTGCTCAGGAAGACAGTATTATAACACCAACAAAAACTCAGAGATTGAGATTTTACATAATGGAGGGGTAGAAAGTGTGGAGTCACCCATCTCCAATCACTGATGGTACTATGGGAAGAAAAAATTTAGAGTTAAGGCCATTTCCAAGTTGCCATTGGGTTGAGATAGAAATATAATTGAAAGCATTATGGCTGCTTTCAATATGTCGAACAATAACTTGAACGACAAGCAAGTTCTTTTGGTTGTCAAGCCAGTCAATGACTTTAAAATATTCGGGTTTCGACCTTCTGCTAAAAAGCATGGACAGTTCTAAGGAGAAGCCATGTACGTGTCATACATTTTGGATAACCAACTTTAAGCTAAAAAGCAAGGACAGTTCCAGGAGGAGCTGCAATTGTGTCAACAGACTCAACACATGACAAATAACGACATTTCTGAAACACTTGAGGATAAGTGCCACTACATTTTGAACAAATGTATAGTATAATATAATTCTAAATCTAAAATATTTGGCTACCACTTCTCATGCACTTCCTGGCATGTTACTAATAAACCTTGGACATTGGGTAGAAATTCTTTTTAGCAAAAAAAATAAAATAAAAAAATTGTAAAAAATATAATAATTGAAGATTTATAAAGAAAATATAAAATGCAGAAATCTTTAAATTTAGGTCTGGGCATGAGTAGGAAAGAAATCATCAAATTGTTATTAGACTTATGTAATCTACATATAACAATGATGATTATGACTATAAAACTATGTCACAAATTTCATGCAATCGTTATTAGATTTAATTATCAAGAAATAATGTTTCTCGTATATGTTATATAAAAGGTATATTTAAATGTAGTGTCTTGCTCCTTACCAGGCTTGTTCGAACTCTCAAGTGTTGCAATGTCAATGTCCCCATATCATGTCTTGTTCACATCATTTTTCTTAGCGTTTAAGCTGGCAATCTAAGGCCCTGGTATTCTGGAGTCAAGGAGAGGATTGTGCTTTTACAAGCTAGCCTTGCCAACGATCCAGAGTACTTTCTTTGTTTTTTGTAACTACTACATAACTTGGCCAATTGGATTAGGCAATCAGTACCAAAAAAGCATAGAACTTCCCAGTACTAGCCAATGGCATCAAAGTAATATCTTAGAATGTGCCATTTCTCTTTACATAGCATCACTCTTCCTATTCTAACGTTTGCCTCATGTTCTAACTATTTACAGGTTTTTATCCTTCTGACAATACGTATCCATGAAATTTAAAGTAGATGGCAACTCCATTTATTAATACAACTACCTAGAAGCACGTTCACAGATAGTAGTAAATACTACTATCTAGCGAATTTTTTTAACTCCATAACTAGCGAACGGTAGTACTATTTGGGGTTTTAAGAACAGGTATAGACCTAAATTTTGCATTATTTGCAGAAATACCAACTCGACGATTCCACATCCCCACCCTTATCTGGGATCTCAAAACTTCATTGAATCATGAGTTTTTCAAGTTATTCAGTATATATATATATATATATATATAAAGGCAACAATTATGAAAAGCACAATAGTTGATTGCTTCAGAACAAAGAAATTCCAAATGAGAAACAATTCCTCAGACGATGAAGAGAATAATACCACCAATGGCGCGCTTGATTCTCCCGTATTAGGGTTTCCGGTGTCCATTATGGAATTGCTAACAAACACAGAAAAACTAGACGCGTTAGATTCAGTAACACAAATTCTCATTTCTCACCCATTTCTCACCAAGTAAATTCAATATAAGAAGCAAAATTTTGAATTCAAAGCTAAGGATTTAAATAAATTGAACAAATGAATCCAACAACAAAAAGAAAGAAGAGAAGAGGAAATTAGAATTACCGAAAATGCATGAAAACTTACACGAAGTTTCGAAACCCTAACACATGGTTGAAAGGGGCATCTACGGAGATAAATTGCGCTTTATTCTATAGCTTTTGTATGAAATTCAATTCTCTTCTTTCGCAACAAGCGAGCGAGAGAGAATTTTCGAATGTTGAAATTTGAAAAAACCTTGGAAATTAATTAATGTTGTAAAAGGAGGAATTAATCGGGAATTTTGAAATGCCCTACAATTCAAGCCGAGTCGGTAGGCTCCAATACACACAGGTGGGTGTGTTTGACGTGGCCTTCTCACACTCACTGCGCATTGGGCCATAGGCCTTACACACAGGTGGGTGTGTTTGAGGTGGCCTTCTCACACTCACTGCTCATTGGGCCATAGGCCTTAGCCGCCTTAGTCCATAAAGTGCCAAAGAAAAAAGAAAAAAAAAAGGTAAATTACACCTGACACAAGTCATTTCAGGATTATTGCTTTGACCTCCCTTGAGCTCTGGGTGTATGCTCAACAATCCTCTTTCTATCAAAATTTATAAAAAATATTTATAAAATGATCAAGTTGCCCTTACACTTTTTTTTTTTTATTTACAATATTTTTTTTAGGAGGGGTAACGGTGGTGGAGAGGAGAGAGAAAGTAACAAGAGAGATGAGAAAGAAAATTAATTTCTTTAGATTTTATATTTTTTATTATAAAAATATATTACATATAAAGGTATAATTAACTTTTTATAATCTTAAGGGAAGTCAGAGTAATAAATTTTAACTTTCTACCCATATGAGATTTGTCCAAACATCAAGAAAGGTAAGTGTAATTTACCAAAAAAAAAAAAAAAAAAAAAAAAACCCCTGAACTATTTGATGCTTGTAAGCTTGTCCTCCCATTAATTTCATCACCCATTCACACGTATGAATTATCTTAATGATATAGGTTAAAAGAATAATCAGAAAACATAAATAAAAGGAAAAAAAAAAAAAAAATGGTGTAACTTTTGCATTTCCTTGCTCAAGCTAGTATTTAAATGAAAAATAAAATATAAAAAAAAGGTTAAAACCAGAAACTAGGTATATAATAATGCTTTCTTCATTGCAGAAAAGTTCAAAGCTTTGTCATAGCATAAATTTCTTTAACCCCACTTCTTTCACTAACATCAAATGCAACATTGCTTCAATCTAAATTAGGCTACGAATGAGAATGCCTTCAAAAGTAATCCCAGGTCCAAATGCCAAAGCAAGTCCCCATTCTTCACCTTCACCACCCTCTTTCTTCAACTTCTCCCTCATATATTCCATCACATAGAAGATGGTGTTGCTGCTCACATTCCCAAAGTCCATCAATGCCCTCCTACTGCACTCCAGTTTCTCTGTTTTCAGCTCCAGTTTCTTCTCCAACCGGTTCAGAATCGCCGGTCCACCCGGATGAACCGCCCAAAACATGTCATTGAACTCCTTCAAACCACCCTTTGCCATCAGCTTCTTGCAGAACTCCTCTATGTTGTCCTCGATCTTCTGTGGGAGGTCTCTCCCCAGCTTGAAATTGATACCCTCTTCCGAAATCCGTCCATCGATCACATTCTGTGTCCCGGGGAGGAACTGCTGGACTGCGTAGTTCAGCTCCATGAAGGGCGATTCCGTCCCGGTTATCGGATCAGAGCCAATGATCACAGCACCAGCACCATCACCGAAGAGAGCAGCCCCCACCAGGTCATAAGGCCGGGCATTGTTTGGTGGCCTAAAGCCAAGGATGGTGGTTTCGGAAGTTGTTAGGAGAACCCGGCTTCCCGGGTTGTTCTCAGCTATGTCCTTGGCGACTCTGAGGCCAGTGACACCTCCATAGCAGCCCAGGAAGTAGAGCATTACGCGGCCAACGTCGTTCCTCAGCCCGAGCTGGCTTGCAAGGTAGAGGTCACCGCCAGGCAAGCGGATCTCACTCGAGGAAACGTAGACAATGTGGGTGATGTCTCCTACTGGCCTTCCCCATTCCTTGATGCAAGCTTGGCTTGCTTCCATTGCCATCTCCACCACTGCCGGGTTGGCTATGTCGAGCCTCTGCTTGATCGTTGGCGACCCTTCCGTTGCTAGCTCTGGATACTTGTCCAATATTTCCTTCGACATGACTGTGTACCTTGTCTTCACAGTAGTGGTTTTACCTAGCAAAATACAAAAAAATTGACATATATGGTTAGTCGACTGCACGCGCATAAATAAGTGTAAACTGTCTGCCGTTAAATGATGTGAATATAGTTTTCTTACACAAACGCTCCAATTTCTCCTTAATAGCCAAGTCGTCGCACTTTGTGTCACGAATGTAGCCCTCCACCAAGCATTCCTGGGGAATGAGTTGGCTAGGGAAGGCTTTGCCCATGGCAAGGATTGTGGCCATTCCTGGCGTCGGAAGGCGCTTAGCTACTGAAGGATTGTGCTTAGAGACGCCATTGTTGTTGCTGGTCGACATAGCTTGATTAGCAAGAAGTAATTAAACTTTGGTTTGGTGAACACTTGGCATAGAGCTATCATAGCTCAGATGAATATAAAGGGAAGCTTGGCTCATTCTTGGAGAGAGGTTGGTGTCGAGGGATGAGTAGCATGAAAAGTAAGATATGCGTACTTTATTAGTTCTGGTTTTCTTTTTGGTTCTTGGGGCTGGAAGTGTGAAGGTCTTAAAGAGCAACAATCTTTTCCTTTCTTTAAATGGGTTTCTTAGCTGAGAGAGAGTACCCAATTCCAACTTACCATCCTTTCCTTCCAAACAGTTGGATTTGCCAGGGTACCCAAAGGCCACAAAACAATTGTACATCACTTTTAGGTTGAAGTGTATCTAAATTGCCCTTCATGTCATTATCATGGTCCATCCTATCATTTGATAGTACCTAGGCTGAACTAATTAAGCCTATTTAGAACTAGTGAGACGATATTCTGATTAATTTAATTTACAATTAATTTTCTAAGATAAAATCAGGCTTAATCACACAAATGTGTAACTCCCAGGGAATTTCAATTGCGCCCATATTCATCACTGTAGGAATGTGGTTCGTTCAATAAATTCCTACCTCTCTATCTATCTCGGAAATGTTCGGATTTTTCAAAACTCCATGGACATGTAGAAGAGAACTGCCATCCCCACTCGGACCAAGACACAACTTTCGTACTAACCCATTGGAGAACACATTTTTTAAAAAAATATGTACAAGAAAAAATGCATCCATAGAGAAACTGCTTCAAGACAAGGGAAAAATAAAAATAAATCCTCAAATGGTATACAAAAGCAAGCCAACAACGAAGTCACAACAGTCAGTTTCATAAAAGGACATCAGCACCAAGGATATCTCACAGGAAGATCTGTCCAGCCTCAAGATGAACGTCGGAAATAATAGCTGCAGAATATTATTAGAACTTGTTAGTAAATATTTGAGAGGTGATATTACATGTGCGTTTGGAGAGCGAGAGAGAGAGAGAGAGAGAGAGATGTACACAAAAATCTTGATGCCATACATAGCAGCATACTTGCGTAAAAGACGTTCAACAGTATACCATTCTGAGCGATTTGATCCATCTTGATACCCGATTCGTGGCATGTGGATTGAAGCTATCAAAGATTATGGGGATGAAAGGCGTATAAGATGATTGCAAATGTAGACAAAATTCATGACAAAAAATGGTCTTGTTCATTAAATAATGATCAATGGGAATGTCTCCATAATTCTTCTGTGCAATAATGAAGACCATGCAAATACATAAAATCCTACCTTTCTGTTTCTATATGAATGAAGAGTTCAATTGCATATATTGCATCCGTACAGTAGCATCAGATTAAATATTGAAAGTTGATGCTGAACCATCAAATTACGCAGTAAAAACACATTAAATGGAACTATGATACTAAAAAGAGTAATGCTGCTCAGGCCGAAGAGTTGCAGTGAAATGCCTAACCGAATGGTTTTGATGGGTTATTTATGCAAATTACAAGCAAGTGGAGGGTCTCACTCCCTTATTTCTACCATAGATGACCAATTAAAAGTAGTAGATCTTGCAATTCACTGCAAATACATAGACTCCTACCTTTATGTTTCTATTGCATATATTGCATCCATACATTAGCATCAGATTAAGTATTGAAAGTTGATGCTGAACCGTCAAATTAGGCAGTAAAAACACATTAAATGGAACTATGATACTGAAAAGAGTAATGATGCTTAGGCCGAAGAGTTGCAGTAAATTGCCTAACCGAATGGTTTTGATGGGTTATTTATGCAAATTACAACCAAATGGAGGGTCCCACTCCTTTATTTCTACCATAGATGACCAATTAAAAGCAGTAGGTCTTGCAGTTCACTGCAACTACTCGGTCTAAAAATCATTTTCCTACTGAAAACATAGTGTCACTGTCTCAGAAATCAACACTAGGACCCACAAAACAGTAAAACACAGTAAATTTAGAGAATCTACATTAGCTAACTCGAAAATCTTACATATCAAAATAAGGAAACTAACATAAAAAATGTCTTTTTAGAATAATTGTATAGTGAAAATGCTAGAAACTTATATAGAATTGTCAAATATGGACCAATAGGCCAGTAGCTTAACGGTACCAAGCCCCTACTTCTCAAAGAGAGGTCAGGAGTTCGAGTCTCAGTGGAGGCATGTGTGTGTGAATACCAACTAGGGAAAAAAAAATTGTCAAATATAGATACCAGAATTTTGAGCAGCCGAGAATGATGCTTTCAATATGCAGCGCTCCAAATCAGGAATAGAGATATTGCTGCGAGGGACTTTACGCCTAGGATTGTACGATTGTACAACAGCCAAAGCCACCCACTGACGAGCATTAATATCCTTAATGTGTTCATCAAGGTCCTCTGCATAGCAACAATTGGATTTGAAGGTGACATTCAGGAAAATAAACTAAAGAACTAAAAGTAAATATACACAGCTCTTAAATGCTAAAACAATACCGAAAATAAAACTATTCACAGAACGCAAAGCATTTATTCATCACATTGGCACAACTGTTTGTACTAATTCTTTCAACAGTTACTTCAATTAGCTCACGAGAAAATGAGATACAAGAAAATTAGGTTACATATATAATGGCCTCATAAATGCCCCAAGGGGATAGCCTAGTGTAGGGCTGTCAACTCACACCATGGAGGTTGGGAGTTTGAATTCCCTTGGGGCCACCCCCGATATTGTTCCAGTAATTCCCTGCGCATGAGGGACGAGGGGACTAGATGTGCCCGCTGGTGGATTATGGGGTGCTCTAAGAGGCCCAACACCACCGTGGCCGACAAAATAAATAAATAAATAAATAATGATGATGATGATGATAATGATAATAATAATGGACTCGTGAAAAGGGATGCAAAATTCGCAAATAACTAATGGCATATGAAATTTATATTCTCATCGAGTATTGTCAATTTCTTCACTGGTATCTGTTGGTACCCCAGTTTGCTTGTGGGGTTAAAAGATGAAAGAACCCCTAGTTGTTTGGTAAAAACTAATGGTGTCGGTATTCATGTGTGTGCGCGCGTCACCAATTCTGGAAAAAAGTATAAAAATCTTGAATGTAAAAAAGTAAGAAACAAATTTATTATAAAAAAAAAAAGGTATGGTAAGAAACAGGGGCTAACCATTGATTTCTATAAGATGGAGATCACCCAGATGGAGGTCTCCAAATTCAGATGCTCGTTGATACGCACTAGGAATACTTGCTGAAAGTTTGGCCAATGCATCAAACATACCTCCGTTGCCCCAGTTTCCAGAGTCATCAACACAGCTGCAAAGAAACATGTCGGTAAGAATGAATTTTTAAAAAATAAAAAGTGAAGTGGATGGCTCATCAAAGGAGTAATAAATTTAGTTCAATCAATTACACGGCAGCCAAAGAAACATGGCTCATGGTCTATTCAAATAAATAGGTAGACCGTGGGGAAAATATCCACTAGACAGGGTGACTTGCCAAGGGGAATAAGCAATAATTGTGAAGATGCTATAAAGAAATGCAAATACAATTCTGAATGAAGCCCACAAAAGAAAATGTGGTTCATTAGCAAAATCTTTCCTCTCCATTTCTACAGCAGATAGTCATGATTCATCAAGTACATTATATATTAATAAGACCATATTGACCATCATCGATAACAATTGATATTAGAATTCACAAGATTAGGCACCACCAAACTCGGTTCTCAAATGTGGGAATCAACCCCCTTGATTCCATTTATCTTCTAGAGGGTTTTCCCTCTATAATGTTAAAAACTCATAAAGATAGCATAGAATGTTGCTCATCAAGCCTAGCCACCACACAGCATTCATGATGACAATTAAATAGAAAATTGAGATAGAGGACCAACTACACTAACTAATGAGTCATGTCACTACATACATATTAAACCCTAAAATGATAAGCCTTTACATATACTCGCGAGAGCACACTAATGTGAACTAGGAAAACGAAACCCAACAAATAAGGCTCTCTAATGTTATATCCCAATATGTAATGACTGCATTAAAAAGTAATTAAAAAATTTTGACACTACCAAATGTTGGTCCCACATACGTTGGTTGTTGTCGGGGGAAAACTGGACATAGACCTAACCTTTAACATTACTTTTGCCCAAAGTAGCGGCATTCAGACATGAACAACGTCGTCATGCTACATGATAGACCAAACAATATCACCACTCAACTGATCTCAGCATTCTATAACTGTTAAAGAGCAACACAGTGGCCCTTACAAATAAAAATATAGTTTGGATGGAGATGAACCAAGTACTTGAACAGCATAGAATGATAGCAATGAGGTATAATCTTCATTTATGGTGCATGACAAAATTTTTAATTTCTTCAGCAAAAGCAACCATCAAACTATGGGCCTATGAATATAATTATTTATTTCTATCTTGCAAAGAGACAGATAAACAATCACTGACCAACAGCAAGTAATAAGAATTTATTTCCAGGAATCACAAACATGAAACATTTATTTATTTCCTGTAAAGAGACAACAAAACAAGATTGAGTAATATTCACCAGATGGTCACGTTCAAAAGATCCGAAACAAGAAAAACAAAAGGAAAGCAAATGCACCAATAAAAGAGAGAACAATAAGGCAGGTGTTCCACAAAGGACATATCAGCAAGCATGATTAATAATGGAAAACAGGTCATCTACAACTGTTTCTCCTGAAGTATTACAAGAAAAGTCATGAAAGATGATTCATGTGCATTTTCTTAATGAATATTCACCTGAGTATGACTGTTTGCTCTGATGGACAAACCTTTGATGGACGTGTACAGTCTCCATAAACAAAATGAACAGAACCTGAATCTGACATCGCATCAGTTTCTGCAGGGCATATAGGATCCTGCAGGGATAATGAATGGTATCCAAGAGCTTCCCACTTGGACAACTTTTGTTCCTCTGCCTCTTTCCTTGCAATCTCAGCTTTTAAATGCTTCTCCTTGGGCAAGCTTCTCCTATTTCCCAACTCCACAATAGAATTATCATTAGCCTGTGATGCTTCTTTTATCTTTTCTACCCACAAGAGATATGAAGCTTCATCAAAACCAGGATCAGAAGTGACAGAAGCTGGATCCTTTTCCAAAATATCGTTTCCATTTAATAGGTTCACTGAATGAATCTCAAACATCCTTTCATCCTTGTTTGATTGCTGTTTGTGGCGTAATTCAATTACCTTTTCAGCCATAGCATTCAATTCTGGCATAGTTTGATCTGATTTTTCATTATCTACATCTGTAGGATCAAACATATGTAACCCAAACATGACAGATCGCAAGTCACCAACTTCAGCTCCTGCCATTTCCTTTCCTTCACGGTCCGTAACATCCTCTCCTACGACATTGTGGCTAAGCTGCAACTTCCTCTCTGCTCTGCGCATGATAACCTACTTCAAAATTGAAATCAAACAGTAAACAAGTCAGCTTCAACTCTAAAAACAAATATGTATGATCTCACCTCCTCTATAGTACGTCCGGTGACTAGGTTTATAGACAACACGTGATTTATCTGACCAATCCGATGTGCCCGCTGCAGAGCCTGCTTGTCCACTTGGGGATTCCAATCTTGCTCATAAAATATAACCTACCATAAATTATTATCACCAAGTCATTAGAAATGCACAAGTAACATAGAAGTACACATCTGTTGAAAAAGAAACCAAAAAAGGGTAAAATAAAGAGCACTTATGCTGTACTTGGGAGCAACTTCAAGGGCATCAACTTACCGAGCTTCCTTCTCCTTCTTGGGTAACATAATATGTTCTGAACTCAAAAAACAGGGCTCAAGACTTGGTAGAGGATAAGAGAACTTCATGGGTATCAACTTGGTCTCTTACATTGCAGGTCTATAGAACTTTCCAACCAATGATCTCTTTTGTTGACCTCTAGCAGTGTCAAAGTTTAATATAAAAACAAAAGAAGCAGGAACCACCTGCACTGGGGCATTTGAATCTAAGAAAGATGCATTCAGTTGAAGAATCTTTCACTTTGAAAAGATACCTCAAGTCTCCTGCTAAACAATTTCTAGCCAATAATATCATTCTTCTCTGAAGTTGGTTCTAGCTAGTCATGATGGAAGCCTCTTCAAAGACTTATTTGACAAATAAGTTAACAACTAACTCAATGACACTATATATCCAAAAGGTTTAGCATTGCCTAAACTAACACTTTCTGCTATTGAACTCTATATAGAGCCATGCCTTCTGTGGTCCTATTATCCTATAAAACTAGAGACTATTATTTGACTCTCCTCAGCCGCAATTCATAAACAAACTATTAATGTTTAAAAAAAAATTAAAATCTTATTTTACAAAAAGAACAATATTGGCTACAAAAGAGGATTGTGGTTTCTTACATAGCAGCTTAGAGCCGAGAAATCTACTGACAAAAGATTTTATAATTCTTAATCTGCGCTTTTGCTAAATTGATGGTTGAAATAGAGGGGATGAACTTGATGTGGTCATGACAACGAGACGCATAGAGAATTCGGGATAGAGAAGAGAAAAATTGACCGGGCTAAACACTTTTTATCACAATTCTAAGAAAATATACATGTAAAATTATAATTAAAAAAAAAAAAAAAGGATCAGTGGGGGCAACAGCCCCCCACAGGACTATATGTGCCTCTGCCACTAGTTTGATACACTTTAACACTCTTGATGATTTTTAAAAAAATAATTCATTGACACTGTGGGTATCAAAATTTCTAGTGGTTTTTAAGTTGATGCCAGTTGAAATCTATTGATGGTGCACTAGCTATTATACATAATAAAGAACTCTTAGAACCAAATAATTATGGTTATATATTTTGATCTCTAAAAGCATAAGTCAGTTTCAAAATAGAGTTATGTGACCTTCATGTTTGCATTTTATTAACCTCCTTTTAAGGCTTTATCTTTTCATTATATTACCAATATACTTATGGTTCTACATTATTCTCCACCAAAACTCCAAAAGATGATCTGCATTCTTGGTAGTTCGAATTGCACTGGATACTTACAAACTATTTTTTATATCACCTCTTAACTAAGTGTATCTTCAGACTTTTACCTTGAAAATTAAAAAGTTAAGCTCCTATGAAATACAAACACTATGAATAAGTTCCGCATGAACCATAAAAACCAGAAACACACATTTCAAAGCCATTTGAGGTAAAATTTATAAAAGAAATAGTTGGTTGGATTTCCATAGTACTCACTGTATCAGCAGCCACGAGATTCAAGCCAACTCCCCCAGCTCTTGTAGAAATCATAAAGACAAATGCTTCATTCTGATCAGCTTGAAGATATGAATTCCCCTTTACTGGTTGTCGGCTAAAACTTCTTATTGCAGCAAAGCGTTCCTCAGCACGAATTGATCCATCAAGACGCTCATAAGAATATTTCCTTAATTCCAGAAAATCCTACATGGCATAAAATTATATAACTTTATGATATTATAAGCTCAAGCGACCTACTACTTGATGCAATGATAATAGTGCAGACTCTGAAGAATAAAAACTTGAGTACAAGTCTTAGGACGGCCACTTTATAAAAATATGTCAAAGGTCAGGTCTGTATCCAAATCATCACAACACCCTGATAAGCAACGGCCAACTCTAGGTAATGGCCAATAATTTAGATGTTCACGCATGTATAATCAGTCACAGAGATATAAAGCTTCTACCTTAAATTGGAAAATGAAAAAGAAAAACAAAAGAAAACCTGTAAGATGTCAAGTGTATTGGTCATCTGAGCAAACAAAAGAACACGATTTCCAGAATCATGTAGCTTCTGAAGTAGTTGGTCCAAGATTATAAGTTTGCCACTAGCCTGAACAGAAATCACAAATGAACAGGAGAGAATGTCATATGATTGCCAGAAACTTGATGCAACAACAAAACACACAATCAGATGGTAAGAAGACTAAGACACGCAACACAAAGGTTTGATTATGTAGGCAACTGGAGCATAACCAGGCAAAAATGTTATATTCCTTCTTTTTCTTCTTCTGAGTGGTGAAGATGTTGATGAATCTTGAACCACATATTTGGTTCATAGGTAGTTTTAACTCCCTATTTGTAGAAATTCTGTTATTATTTAAATATGCACAAAATAGGTGGGCTACCTGAACCAGGTGTTCCCCTTCTTCGTATGGTTCAGGCTCGATACCAGGGAAAAGATAAGGATGACTACATGTTTTCCGTAGCTGTATTACCTGGAAAAAAAATAAAATAAAAAGAGAGAAAAAAAATTTGTTAATTAAAATTTTAATCAGCGATCACATACTTGAGAAAGATGAGTTTCTACTTCCGTTTGTGTTGATCTAATTTCTACTTATTTTCCAGAATAGAACTTAAAATACGTTTCATCAAAAGCAAAGAGAGAAGGGATCATAAAAGCGAAAGAGCAAAGAATCAATCGCAATCCCTCCAAAAGTATCAAGAGATGGGATGAGTCTAACAACTCAAGAAATTCCTGGGGTAGGGAAAGTGGGAGATACATTAAGGAGAATTTGGACATGGATGACTTGAGATGAGGAGTAGGCTTATGGTGCATGCTCATAAAAAAATAAATTACTTTCTTAAACAATTGGGAGTCAAGTCTGCAGTATGATAGTAGATGAGTTACACCCATAAAGGAATATGCTAGTGTGAAAAGATATCAACATACAATATTTTGTAAGGATTGATGACTAGAAGCTCCGGAAGATAATGCGAGAAGCTTAGGAAGCTCCTTTCTCAATATTGACATATACACCTTCTTTTGCAGGGCCACCAAGGGTGCCATCCTATCATAAAAAAATAAAAAAATAATTATAAGCATCTCAGCATCACTCCATGTGAACAAACAAGACAACTTTTGTAAGAGATGTTTGCAAGAAAGCTTTAAATTACATGTTAAAAAAATAAGCAAGCTCCAACTCTGTTGATTTGAGGAATTGTGAGAGGTTATATATTCAACTTTTTTCAAATGGAATGATAGCCAGAAAAAGATAAAAGATAAAACGTAACCAGGGTAAAGAACGAACACAGTGATTTCAGTAAGAGGCGGCAGCATAAGAGTTCCAGACTTGATGAGCGTAGATTTCGTTCTTCTAAGCATAAATGCTCCCAATATATACTTTAAAATTTTAAATTGTTCCTTCACTTTTGCTGCATTGTGAACTGCTAACAAAAGGTCACTTTAGTTTAATAATTTCCCAAAAAGAAGTTCCAATTATCAGAAGAATGCTAACTGAGTGAGATGGAAACTAACCCAATAACATTAAAATAAATGCAAGCAATTTAATAATCCAAGAACCAATCAGATGATGTGCATAGTAACATCAAGCTAGAAATAGACAGAACCCAGGCAGAAGATATATGACACAAATACACACAAACACACACACACACACATCTATTTTGACAAAATCATCTTCTTTCACTACAAACACCAGCAGTAACATTTCAATCCAAATCCCATTGAGCTGGAGATCTGGAATGCACAAATCTTAACATTGCAATTGTTTTGCATTAAAAGGTAGTCAACTCTTAGCAGGCTACAAGTAAGAGATAAAGTTCAGAAATAGTGAACCAAGACAGTAAAATTTTAGAGGAAGGAGAAGTAAACCTGAAGCGACTGCCTTAACAACCATCTTACTAATCATAATCAGACCCTTATCCTGACAGCCTTGGTACATTAATTTGAATCATTTCTATCTGACATATCTTCGAACATTATCGTCTTCTCTCTACAATTTTGAACCATTATCATATACAAAGATGGTGCCAACAACTGTATTTTTGCCCAGAACTAAACCAAGTCAAGCAATGGTCCTCAATTTTCCCAGTCTAATACTGTAATGCAGCAAACATCAGCTCTGATGAACCAAAATGAGTGTTATACTAAACCAAATGCCGCATCAAGGTCCTCAGTACCAAATGCACTTAAAAGTTTCAAGCTGATTTTTTTTTTTTTTTTTTTAATGGAGGACTGTAATATATTCCAGAGTGAAAACCAATTAGTAGTACACAAAATTAACTCCTAAATTCCATGTGTGTAATTAGAGCAAATATCATCTCTGCAAGAACTGAATTTATAGAAAACAAAAGGGCTTACATAGCATTTTATACGTGATATTTAGTCCCACTGCTTAAAGCCTATAAAATGGAAAAGAAAATTAATAAGAGTAACCTAATAACTCGTGGTAAGAAATAGAAAAGGTTAAGAAGAAACTTTTAGTGCAGTGGCAATGATACAAGAACACTCGGCCAATGGAGCTTTAAATGAAAGAGTACTACAACTAAAATGAAGGACTCAATCACATACTAAGATTATTTTATTTAAGCTTTAAGCAAAGACATATTCTTTACGCCGTCATGCTTATAATAAAATTGAGTTTGTCTACAATCCACCAAAAACATACAACACCATCAATAAAAGATCAAAAGATAATGCGTGCATGACAAAGTGAATCTTCAAAAATTATGCCCGATTGTCAGATGCGCTTGTATTATGTTTGCTCAGGTATGGTCCTATGGATTTAGGACTTTGCAACAACTTTCAGCTAGGACACCAAGGGGCTCCCTTGGCAGGTGTGGTGGTAGCACTCCACACCAGAATTAATATTGGGATCTTTTTTTCCAATCCGACCAAATTCAGTGAGTATAAATAGCCCTTAAAGTAGTTTTATAGTGTTAAGAAACGTAAGGTTTCGAACTTTCATAGTGAGAGCTCAGAAGGTGTGGATTTCTTGTAAACCAAATTTGTAGTGAATTTGACCTCCCTTCCTCCATGTTCTTATTGCGTTATTGTATCTTCCCCATAATTTTCTATTATTGATCCTGTATTTGTACACAACAAACTGTAAGAATGAGCACAATTTTCAGCTTTTAATTTGATAAACGAGCATCAACATAGAAAAATAACAGACCTCAAATGAAAACTTTTACCACAAGTTGCAAGTATATATATACACACAAATTGAACAACTAGCTATTCCGGTAATGCTTGAAGGAAGAGGTAAGGAAAGATAAAGAGCAATAATAGAGCATCTGAAATCTAGAATTTTGAACGTAAGAGAGTTCTGCTCACACTATGGATCCATGACAAGTAAAAAATTAACCTGGTAAAGAGTTTCCGGCATCCTTAAATTTGGAAAGGAATTGCTCCAATGTCCCAAAAATTGAAGGCATACAAAAATGCATCAAAGCCCAGAGTTCAGTAAGGTTGTTCTGAATAGGGGTGCCAGTCATCAATAACCGTCTTGGCATAACAAAGCGCTCTCTAAGGACATTATACAATACCTGTTAATCTTTTAGTAATTAGGAAACTGTAGTGAAAGCAAACAAGGAAACTAATTTAGCTAAAGCATAATTCACCTCTTCAGGTTTAGCCTATTTTTTATCAGTATAGCACTTCAAAGGATCATTAAAAAAAAAAAAAAAAAAAAAAAAAAAAAAAGAAGAAGAAAGAAAGAAAGAAGAAGAAGAATAAATTGTAGCTGGTAGTTTAAGCCAACATATCTGAAACATGTAAACATTATTACGCATCGAAGGGAGACAAAACTTTATATTTATTTTTCTCTGGTAGACAAATTACCAATATATATGTGTGCTGATTCTCCTAAATAATAGAATCATAACCACATTCTTAGCATAATTCATTGAAATCCAATTATTTTTAAAAAATACCAGGAAAACCAAAATGTAAGAAGTTCTGTAAGCATTTAGTGAGTTGTTTTTCTCAATTACCACCATGCAGCAAATCAGCAAACAGGTTGCTAGTATAGAAATAAGAGATAATGAACATATTAGAGGGGCTTATCACATACGCTGGAAGGATTTTTGAGTCTTTGAGCTTCATCTATAATTGCAAAATGCCATGGAATTTGAGAGAGAAAATCCTGATCCATCAATGCTATGTCATACGTAGTTAATAGCACATCAAAAGGTAATGATGATACCTGCAAACGCATAAAACATAATTAACCATCAACATATACATATAGACCGATAGCAGACACTGAGATAGCAAATCAAACCCTATGGTAGTCCTAGAGGGTTTGATGAAATCACAAATTTGAAGGGCACAAAACTAAGACCAGTAAAAACAATTTAAATAACATTCTATCTTGCAATGAAATACATCAACAGCATCCAAAACGTACATCAGATTGTAAGGACTGCTCTTTTACGTGCTCAGACATTTTTCTGCGTAAGTCACGCCTGAGTTCTTTCTCGCCAACATAACGAAGGACTCTTAATTTTGGAGTGAAGTTGGCTACCTCTGACACCCAACCATCAGTCACACTAAGAGGACATAAAACCACTGCATGTAATTTAACAAATCTAAGAGCACAATATTGATGCCAAAAGAAGGGGACGAAAAAAATAATAATAATAAAAAAAAAACCATCATTTACACTTCAAGCTTGACATAATAGATTAAAAAAGGCTTTGTTACTTACAAAATGGCCCGGGTGTCATCTGACAAACCTTCAAATAGCTCAAGAAAGAGATAGCCTGCAGTGTCTTCCCCAGTCCCATCTGCCAATAAACCATATCATTTACAACCACAATGAACGTGAGCTCCGGTGCATTGCAAACAAGCATTTCTTTGACACTTATTAGCACCACTGTAAGCTCCGGATTTACATTTTTGGCTTATGGGCTATTGCAGCAAAGCTTTACTAGGGTGAGATTTGCACAAGTTTTCTGCTTCGTGAGTAAGCTTAAGAAGAATATAATATTGGGAACACCACAGAAAAGCCGTGTTAAATAGGGTCTTACACATATATCCTAAGCAAGCATCAACCATTCTACCCCTTGGGTTAATTTACGAGTATGAAATATTAATTGCAGGTTTTTCAATATCATAAAAAGGATTAATATGGACAGCAAATGAAACAAACATCTATCCCGGAAATTCCAGCTGAACATACTAAAGCAACCTAACTGAAAAATACACTAAAAGCAAGGAGCAACTGTCAGAACAAACAATTCAATAAGGAAAACATAAACTTGACAATCTGTATTTGAAATAAACACCTAGGAGGGAGAACCTATTCTTTTTAAATGCTGACAAGAATCCTTGTTGAACTCTATCCACTTGAGTAGCCCAAAAAACCAATCAATTTTCGTACCATTACTCATTCAATAATAATTTTATTTAATAACACAGCTGGAAGTTATACTAAATTAACGACCCATTCAATTCTTCTCTGCAGTGACGCTTAGATAATAATGACTTCTTTTGGTGGTCAAACAACAGGTGACTGGATTTGAACCCTGGTGAAAGTGGAGAGTAATGGCCCCAACTCATCATTAGGCCAGGAGACCAGTTATTAAATAATAATATAAATCAATATACAGCTTCAGCACATTAAAATTGAACCATCAGTAATTGGGTTTACCTCATTAACCCAACAGGTGAGAAAAATTCTTACACTGTGCGAATCCAATCAAGTTCAGAAATTCACAGTTCGTAAAGAAATCATACCTCATCTCCTACAAATACAGTCAAACAGTACAATCACCATGGATATTCTCATATTATAGACTTGTATACAAATAATAACCATACTGCTCAAAATTTTAAACGATGCTCAGTTTGGTTTCAGAGAAAAATGAAGAGCCAAAAGAAAATAAACCACCAATTCACTAAACCTATTTTGCAAAATTTGTTCGTTTAGCTATATTGGGTTTTTCAGAAACCAATTTTACTTTTCATTTCCAATGATTTCTCGGTAACCAAACAGATTGTAAAGAAAATGATGTTCCAGAGAGACCTTACCGAGGATGACGTTGACGCCGAGATTGTATCTCCGTATGAGCCAAGAGACTCCTTCGACTTGGTGGGGTTTAAGTGTCGCAGTGACCCCGAAATCGGCACAGTTGACCGGCACGTCGCCGGCGCGTGAATCGCCGGCGAAGACGTACTTCGCCGCCGCGATAAGTCTCTGCTCGTAGTTCATGTTGAGTGAAAGATACAGAGTAGGCGGGAAAGACCTGGGTTCCTTGTGTGAAAGAGAGAAATGGTTTTGATTAAATGACTATAATAGCCTCGATCGGGTTATGAATTTAGGGAAGATGCTACTGTTTTGAAGAGACAACGACTGGAACACCAGGAGGGTACTCTGGTGTTTTTGGTGCTAATTTTAAATTATTTTGTATACCACGTGGCGTCTGACTAGGCTACAATAAGGTGACCGACATTTTGATTGCTGTGACATGATTTAATGAATTTAATTGAATATGGGCAAATATATAATAAAAAATATTAAATTCATAGGAAGTTATTTTTTGAATTTGTAATAAAAGATCTTACCTACCGAAAGAAAGAAAAAAGAGAATTTGTAATAAAAGTTTAAACATGATTTTGAAGTACAAAATTAGTTTACAAGATTACACCACCACTCAAATTCCACACACAGTCTAGGTTTCATATGAATAATTTTAACATATATTTGTTTTTAATATCTCGGGCTAAATCTCGTATACATATCATTTTGTTTTGTGAAAATTATTAAATGGTTCTAAACTTATATGTCATTTATTGATGGATCCCGAATCATATAATAATTTCTCTTTATTTTGGACATTATTAATGGATTGACCAATTTGATCATGAGTAATTTTTACTCCCACGACTTACCTTATAATGTTAAGGTAATATTATTCAAATTGAAACTATAGAAATGAATTTAATACATATTTATGTTTGAGGAGGAACATTAGCACAATGGTAAAATTATGTTGGCATGAAGGTTTTGAGATGGGTGGATGTAAGGATGTATACATTTATCCCCCTTTTTCACACTAAAATGCTTTGCATCAATTAATTGACTTCTTTCTTTTATGTAAGTGCAGGAATGTAATATGGGGTTTGGGACTCCAAATAAATTTTCTAACACACTATTTTTAAAATCTAACTATTAAAAGAAGTGAAATATAGAGTGTTTTTTTTCTTTTTCTTTTTTTTCCTACGTGTGTTCTTACACATTTTCAGACAACTATGATTATGAAGGGTTTGTTTGGCAACTTTGCCTTTATTTTTTCCACTTGAAAGAGAAACAACGTTTTGTGATATTGAATGTGTTCAATAGTGATTAAAAGTATATTTGGTAACATAAAATTTACAAATTAATAAAATAAAATAACTAATTAAGAGACTATCTTCGCACTCCACTTACCTTTTTTATTTTAAAAAAAAAAAAAAAAAAACCCCTAAACTAATTAATGCATCATGGCTTTATTTCATAATGTCATTACTAGCTTTTTTATAACTTCAACTTTTTTTACTATTTTTTTTCTTGTGCTATACTCTTCAGTCTTTTAAAATTGGTGTTTTCAATTATAACATTTTTTTAAAATTGGTGTTTTCAATTATGACATTTAAAAATAATAATAATAATAATACAATTCAAATCAGAACAAAAATTACAAAACACGAATTTCGCTTTTGTATAAAGTGAACAATTCGTAACAAAACAAATAATAATAATAAATAAATAAATACATAAATCGGTCAGAAAGAGCCAAAGTATCAGCTCCTCTCTCCCCCATTATAAAAAAGCATCCCCCCGCCCTCAATTTCATATGTTGTCACACATTCATGCAAAAAAAAACTCTGACAAGACACTTGTCACCAAACAATGTCCTCAACTCAACCTTCGACCTAACCTAAACCATGGTCCTACAATCACCAACCCCACTGTGGTCGGTCAACCTAACTTTTTTTTTTTGTTTTTTTTGGAACTTTCATGAATTTAGCCAGAAGTAGCCATTAGCATTTTTCTAATGCTAATGTGTTTTGATGTAATTTTTTTTTCAGGTAAAATATTATTTTATTTTTATTTTATTAATATTTAATAAAGATTTACATTGAGATTGAGTTTGAGTTCATCGAACGGAGCATGTAAAATAAATTATCAAAAATTTATGAATAAATTTTTTTTGTTAAATTTTTATTTTATTTTTTTTTGTAAATATTTTACGACGGCTAAATACCAAAAAATAAAAAAATATATTTCAAAAAATATATTTTACATACAAACAAACGGAGGCTAAATGTATCAATGTCTTCATTGTATGTGTTGCAAGTTTGTGATATATAACTTTTGAAAAAAAATATATACGTGATATAAGGTCTAATAAATTTTTTTTTTTTTTTTTTCTCACCCTTCAATATTCACATTAAACCGGACATACGACTTTAAGTACATCTCTATAAAATTCTTTACGAAATTGTGCAAAATTCACGTATTCAACTCGTGGGCTGTTAAAAAATTTTAATTCGATAAAGAGAGTAGTGGCATGGGAATATATATATATATATATATATATACACACTAGTATATATAAGTGTCCTTCCCTTTAAATATTAGTACTTGAATTGTTTTGAATGGTGCACTAGGGCGTTAGTTTGGAGGATGACCTGAGCAGATTCCTCTATTGACGGCCAAACTAGATTCGCGGTCCCCTTGTTGTCATCATGCGAAGCGTATCACACCAACAATGCTCTCTGGTATCAAAGTGCTCATCATTTGTTTTTTTAGTGCATTTGGTTTAATAATATTATTTTTCTACACCGTCAAATTGCTCTTGGATTATGCATAAATTACAAAATAACCATTCTCCATTTTTTTTTTTTTTTTTTTTTTTAAGGATTAGGATTGTATAAGAATTTGGGAGTGTACATTGTTATTGTATTGTATTTTAAATGTATTTTCGTATTAGTTATAAACTCATTGTTCTTAGTCTCAAACATTCATTCTCTTCTTTGAGGACGAGAGTTCATGCCATTCGGACGGATACTTATTAGTTAATCACTCACATTTAATTGAATGCTTTAATATGTTTGGAATGAATTCATCACAAAGGTGAAATGCAAATTTGTACTTGATTAAATACAACATATATATATATATATATATTTTTACCACACTGTTAAAAAATTTAATTTTGAAATATACTTGCTTCGTCATCATTAGTTACTCTAGCTCTAGTGTCATAATTACTCTAGCTCTAGTGTCATAATTAGAATTGGAATCTTTAAATTGCATTATATTGTGGATATTTAATAAAGTAATGATATTTTTTTCTTGGTTGAAATTATTTCACTAACTTTCATCAATCATCAAGTTATATAAAAATTCATGGATTAACTATAAATATATATTTGTAAAATTTAAATAAATAAAATAGACTCCACTTCATTTAACATCCCATAAATTCATGATTTTGTTCTAGAATTTTATTTTTAAAATACTTTATACCAATTCGAGTGTACAAATTTTACATATATACTCTCTCCGTCCCATATTAGTGGTCCATTTTTCTATTTTTGGTTGTCCCATAATAGTTGTCCATTCAAAAATTAATGTACTATTTTTATTAACATTCTCAATTTACCCCTAAAAGATAAAACACAATAAAGTGTCAAAATGGTGGACCTCATCAAAGAATAACATTTAAAAGGAATAAATTTGGAAACCAATGTAATAAAAACTAGTGTCTTAAAATGTTTGAATTTTGAATGTGGACATCAATAATGGGACAGAGGAAATAATATTTTTTCTTTTCATACTCAGACGATGTGGTATTATGCACTTGTACCTCAGCCAGTGTGATAGTCTATCATTGGTCCTTGCATCCATCCACAAAATCATCACAATTACTCTAACCTAGCGCCTCATTAACCACATATTTTATTATGTCAAGTTTTAATACCATTTATAACAATTCACTCCTACACATTTAAAGTTTTGGCTCATCTAGACGAATTGGCATAAGGGTGGACGATTTGCAACTAATAGATCGATATGTCTGCCGCTTAATAAGCAGAACTTGAGCTTGTCGTCCATTGATGCACAGTTGGCCCACCACCTCTTTGTCCCACAAATCCGACATTTTGACACAGACCCACCATTCACAATATTACAAATTACACAATAAAAAATTGCGAAAAATAAAAAATAAACCAAAACAAATGGCAAAGACCCACCATTCACAATATTACAAATTACACAATAAAAAATTGGGAAAAATAAAAAATAAACCAAAACAAATGGCAAATCCGTAAATAAAACAAATATAAAATTCAATCACATTGCCCCCAACACCAACTTGTATAATATATAGTTTATTTATATAATATAACACTACATGCCACCTTCATTTGCATTACCTAGTGCCACCTTCTTCATAAGCGAGGCTCATTCCACAGATATAACCAAAACAAGAACAAAAAGAAAAAAAAAATGCAGGCCCAACCGCTTCATATAATCCCACCAAAATTCTTGTCGCCGGTGAAGCTACCGGCGGTGAATAAAATATCGTTGCCGTTTAGAACGTCACGAGCCATCTCGATCACTGCCCCGGGTGAGCAAATTTTGACTCCAGACATCGTAGATGATTCCATGGCAGCTTTTTGGGATTACCAATTTCTATTTGTGTCACAACGCTCCGAAACAGCCGAACCGGTCACTCTTCGTGTCGTGGAGGGTGCAATACCGCCGGACTTCCCTCCGGGAACGTATTATCTCACCGGACCGGGGATGTTCACCGATGACCATGGCTCCACAGTGCACCCGCTAGATGGTCATGGTTACCTTAGAGCATTTTCGATTGATGGGGTCAAAGGAGAAGTCAACTTTATGGCAAGGTACATTAGGACCGAGGCCCAAGTGGAGGAATGTGATCCGGTGACCGGCCGGTGGCGGTTCACTCACCGTGGACCGTTTTCTGTCCTGAAAGGTGGGCAAAAGGTTGGTAACACTAAGGTCATGAAAAATGTGGCAAATACTAGTGTGCTAAGGTGGGGCGGACGGCTGTTCTGTCTGTGGGAAGGTGGGGCCCCCTATGAAATCGAATCTGGGACGTTGGATACAATCGGGAGATTTGATGTGATCAACGGGTCAGAAACGTCGTCCTCGTCGGCCGATGAAGGGTTAAAAGAAAATGATATCTGGGATGTAGCTGCAAAAATTTTGAAACCAGTATTATATGGTAGATATTAAATTTGCAGAACAATTAACTATTCATGACATGAATTTCTTATATATATATATAGATATTGGCATCTGTATATATCTATATATAATATATGCTGTTGAAACTTGAATCTACTTTTATAGGTGTGTTTAAGATGCCACCAAAGAGGCTGTTGTCCCATTATAAGATCGACGCAGGTAGAAATAGACTTCTAATCATGTCATGCAATGCAGAAGACATGTTACTCCCTCGCAGCCATTTTACTTTTTATGGTAAGTTATTTTGCTTTAATATATATATATAAAGATGGTTTAATATTTTCTTTTCCATTTTTAAGTGTTCAGTTTGCTTGTAGTTTTATTAAAAATAAAAATCACAAAAAATGATAGTACCTGCAAAGCTTATAAATGGTTATGAAAAAATATACACGTGTAATTTATATGTCCAAACCCCAAACAATAAATAATTTATTATATATACAAACGTGTTATATAAAGTACAAATGTATGCACATAGTTTATACTTTATACATGTTTTATGCATGTGTAAATATACTATATATGCATATGCGGTGGTATATATATCCAAATTTTAATTTATTAGTTGGGTGTATGCACACATGTTTGTGTTTTTTTTTTTTTAGGTTTTTTTTCACTTCTATGCATGTGTAAATATGCGATATATGCGCATGCTTTGGTATATATATATTAATATTTAAATTTTTTTATTATTAATTTCTTTGTTTATTTTCAGAGTATGACACAAATTTCAAATTGTTGCAAAAGCAAGAGTTCAACATTCCTGATCATCTAATGATCCACGATTGGGCATTTACGGATTCTCATTATATACTGTTTGGCAATCGCATCAAGCTTGATATTCCCGGTAATCACTATATCACCATATAAATTATCAATTGTGAATTAAAAAATAGTAGTTTTTGCTTTACCATTTTTTTTTTTTTTAATTTGAAGTGCAATGAAGTAATAAATCATTAAAATGTACAGAGAATTTTATTTTATTTCATTTAATTTTTTTCCACTATGTACATAAATAATATTTCACCAAAGTAGTAAAAGATCTAATTTTAATACTCCGTATATATTATTATATTTGATTATATTACCTCACACTCACATAAATGTAATTAAATGAGTAGGACTTTTAAACCTTGGATCACAATTCATACATGAGTTGTGATACTACATCCAAAAGTCAACGAATCTAAATGCAATTACGTGAGTAAAGGATGTGTCACGTTATAATAAAAAAATAATCACATCAGCATTACAACTCATGTGACTTTCTAAAATCAGACTGCATTTATGTGACCTCCATTCACAACTCATTCAACATTTTAAAATCGGAGTGCATTTATGAGTTCGATACGTCTAACCGACCTTACTTTATATGAGTTCGTTACAGACCTTACTCTATATGAGTTCGATACATTTGACTGGCCTACTCTATATCATATTTCTGGCAAAGTACAAAAAAACTCCTCTTGGACTTGTACTCTTTTTCAGTAAACTTTTTTGTCTAATTTTTTATCAAAGAACCTCTCTCGACTTGTAACCATTTTCAATAAATCTCTCTTTTTTAATTTTTTACAAAAGAACCCCCTCAACTATCTAAGAGGGGGGTAAAAAATTTAAAATTTGGACCAAAATGTCCTTTTATTTAAATTTTAATTTTTTTGAACTTTAAAAATTCATATCTTACAAACCGTACATTCAAAAATTATAAATACTATATGCACAAAAAGCTTATAAAACAAGGATTTCATAATTATAAGATTTGTTTAACAAAACTTCATAACCAAAGTGAAATAGATAATATAAAAATCTACTGCAACTGTCTTATTTTATTTTATTTTTTATAAAATACTCGGGTTATTTAAAAAAAATATTCAAAATTATTAATTTTTATATGGAGCATAACATATAAAAAAAATTAGTTACAATAGAGACCGAATATTTATTTTTAAATTTTTTAAATGGCGAGTTTATAAAAGAATGAAAATACTTTGACGCAAAATATGATATCTCATGAAATTGATCTGTTGGGGCTAAATTTTTTTATATATTTGGCTCTATATGTAAATGAATAATTCTAAAAATTTTCTTTCAAATATTTCCAGTAAATAAAATAAGATTGTTGGAGTAGATTTTTAGATTGCCTCCTTCTCTTTGGTTATAAAGGTTTGTTGTACAAATATTATATTTATGGAATCCTTATTTCATAAGCTTTCCGTGCATATGTTATTTACAATTTTTAAATATACAGTTTGTGAGATATGAAATTTTGAAGTGCAGGAGAATTAGGATTTAAATAAAATGGTATTTTGGCCCAAATATCAACTCTTTTATCCCCTTCAGATAATTGAGGAGAATTTTTTGGTAAAAAATGTTATAAGCTGAGGTGATTCTTTGATAAAAAAAAAATAAACAAGAGGTTTACTGAAAAATGCTACAAGTCAATGAAGGTTTTCTGTACTTTGCCCATCATATTTCTATATATATATATATATATATATATATATAACCCTTTTAATTATTGGACTAAAAAAGACAAAATATAACTTGGATTAAAAATGCAGGATCAATGGCAGCAGTATGTGGATTATCTCCAATGATATCAGCATTGTCGGTAAACCCTAGCAAGTCCACTTCTCCAATTTATTTGCTCCCTCGAACTCTTAATGGATCAACCCAAGAGCCATCAAGAGATTGGAGAGTAGCTATCGAAGCTCCTTCACAAATGTGGGTATTACATGTTGCTAACGCTTTTGAGGAGAGGGATGAGAATGGTAATTTCAATATCCAAATCCAAGCCAGTGGTTGCTCTTACCAGTGGTTCAATTTCCAAAAAGTGTTCGGTAAGTAGTTTTCCAAATTAAAAAAATTTTCAACTTTAATTCTTTAGTGCTGTCTAGTTTGAAATGTTTTGACTCACCAACTAAGCAATGACAAGGTAAGCACAAAGGTTTTCAAGTAAGCCCATTGTATTATAACTTACAAGGGGTTTATTCTTTGGGAGTTCAGCCTAGGCCTGGATTTAGTAAAAAACACAAGAAAACCAATAGTTTATATATATATATATATATTAGCACATATGACATACATATAAGATGGGAAAGTATTAAATTAATTGGTAACTTTCCTACCAATAGTGCCCTCTGTTAAAGGGTTTGCCAAGTTGTCTTATAAATTTATAACAAGGCTAGCTCTACATATTTGGTGAACATACCTAATTCGATGATGCAGGAACCAACTATATAATGTTGTTTTTTGGACAGGGTATAATTGGCAAAGTGGTAAACTAGACCCTTCCACTATGAACTTAAAAGAAGGAGAAGACAAGTTACTGCCTCACCTTGTTCAGGTTCTCTCTCTCACTCACACACACAAAAACAAACAAAAAAGAAAATGAATGGATAGACATGGATGCGTTTAAATTATAATTGAAGCATAAATCAAATTTAATCCCCACACATATTATTTATTTTTTTATTTTTATTTTTTTTAGAGGTAATTACTACGTGTTACCTGATAATGAAAAAATCATCATTTCTCTTGATAATAAAAAAAATAATAATATATTATTGACCGAATAGTGATGATTTGTTTGGTTTGTAATTCTGAAAATAATTTTCAATAACTCACAAAATATAAAATTATTTTTTAAAAACTATAAAAAACAGTTTTCAATAACCCATAAAACTATTTTCAGATAACTATAAAAGACAATTTTTTAAAAATAACACATTTTTATAACTGAGCTTAAAGGAAATGGTTTTCAAAAAATTGAACCAAACAAAGTTTTTATACAATTTTATAATTTTCAGTTCGAATTACCAAAACCTAGGGCCTCCTTCGTTTGTAACTTTAAGAACAATACTGAAAATAAAAATCTGTATAAAAAAACTCTGTTTGGTTTAGTTTTATGAAAACTCAAGTTATAAAAAGACCAGTTTTCAGAGAAATATTTTTTATTGTTCTCAGAAAATTGTTTTATATTTTTTAAATTATTGAAAATTGTTTACTGAGTTACAAACCAAGCATGCCCCTAACATGTTCTTTTTTTGCCCTGTAATTTGTATATAAATTTCATTTGCTGAACCATTGATTTACAATGCAATGCAGGTGTCAATCAACTTAGATGCTAAAGGAAACTGCCAAGAATGCTTGGTGAAACCTTTAAATCAATGGAATAAATCATCAGATTTTCCTACAATCAATCAAGATTTTTCAGGCAGTAGAAACACACACATATATGCTGCATCTTCTTCTGGTTCCCGCCAAGCATTGCCACATTTTCCATTCGACACTGTGGTCAAACTAAACACCTCGAACCAGTCCATTCACAAATGGTCTGCTGGTCGCCGCCGATTCATTGGCGAGCCCATTTTCATCCCCAAAAGTGGCAGAGAAGATGATGGGTACCTTCTAGTGGTAGAGGTGAGCATTCAATTTATATATACACACTGACACACCTATTTTGTTACATGGATTCGAGCATGTATACAAGAAGGGCATGAACACACAACTAAACATTCATGTTCGAGTATTATGCGTCTGACACAAGTACTTCAAACACGTACAGACATATACATACATACATACATACATATATATATATATATATATATATATATATATATATAAAATAAAATGTTCTTACACATGATGATGATATTATTTGTGATATTTGCAGTATGCAGTTTCAATACAAAGATGCTATCTTGTTGTATTGGATCCCATGAGGATTGGAGAAGCAGATGCAGTTGTTGCAAGACTTGAAGTTCCCAAGCATTTGAACTTTCCATTGGGCTTTCATGGCTTTTGGGCCACTAGTTAGCAATTGTGCATTTGGTAATAGTTGTTAGCAAGTGGTTGAAGTGTTTAATCCATCCCTTTATGGATTACAATCTCACTTTGGTTCAACACAATGAGAACTGAAACAGCTATATATGGTCTGTTTGGGCATCAACAACCTAGCTCACATGTTTCATTATTGAATCATAATTAATTGTATTTATAGAACATTAATTAATAACTTTTTATCTATTTGATTATGTGAATATTAGCTAATTAATAATTAATTATACTGATGGGGGTTTATTTTCTCCATTGATATCGTACGCAAAAATGTTAAAACCAACTAATTTCTTTATTTAGCTTGAGTTTCGTATCTTTTATAGGCACATCTTTAATTGCCCCCGACCAATGTGTTCACTTTATGAATCCATCTCAAAGGCAATAAAACCTGACGAAGTCTTTAGCTGTTTGGACATTTTTTTTATGTTTGAATATCGTACATGACTGAGATAATACTCGTGTAATATTTTAGTTTTGAATTAAAATTTTTTTCATTAACTACTGTATTGTGAATGAAATATGAACAAGGACCATATCATTATAAAAAAAAAGTGAGAAAAGATGACGAGTTCCATTTATACGAGATAGATAGAAGAACAATGACGAGTATGATGCATAACAATCTTGCCGTGATAAAAATAACTAAGTAATAATCTAACACTACTCACCAAATAAAATGTTGAGAGAAAATGTGGAATAATATGCCTCAAAATTGGATTTGTGTTTGCATTAATTTTTAGATTTATATTAAATAATAAGTTCGCTTTTTAAATTGAATAGTTATGGATTTCAAATGCTTTCATAAATATTTCAAAATTGAATATGACTATCGTGACTCGTGAGCTGGTTATAATTGTAATGAACTCGTATTTGAAGTCGTACATTTTGAGCATAAAAAATACATAATGATAAACAAATTATATTGTCAGTGGTCCATGTTAAAATAATTTCACTAAAAAAATTAGTTCAAAGTACCTTAACATAAAATAATAGTTTGATTTAATTAAATTAAGTAAAAAATTTATAATCCACTTGATATGCTGTATAATTGAATTCCACTACCAAATTTTTGGCGGGATAACCAAAGTGACGATTCAAATTAAAATGTCAATTGATTTGCTGAACCGCCAAAGGAAATACCGGTTCAACCAGCCGGTTGGTTTATCCGGCCCAGTTTGATTTTTGGGCGAACAACCAAAACCCTCGTATAATCTACTCATATACCAGAACCTCCCAAAACCCCCCAAAATTCATAACCCTGTAAATACAGTTTACACATAGAGCAATATAGAGAGGGAAAGTAGAGAGAGAGACGCAAAAATGGCAGGATTCTCATTTTCTAACAATCCATCATCGTCTTCTTCATCATCATCGTCCTCATCCCCTTTCTTCTCTGCATTATCTTCATCCTCACAATCTGTACCATTTTCATTCTCAAACCCTTTATCAGCATCGTCGTCGGCGTCATCATCTCCATCGCCATTCTCATTCGGAAATGCAAACCCTAACCCTAGTTCATCATCCTCTGCCGCACCTTTGTCCCTCTTTGGCGGATCTCAGCCCTCTTCTCCCTCGCCTTTCTCCTTCCCTTTCAATTCCGCTTCATCTTCTTCGTCTTCTCTATCCGCAAACCCTAACCCTATCTCCGCTCCATCTCCGGCTTCTACATTCGGTTTCGGAGCTGCATCGACTTCGTTCGGGTTCAGTTCTTCTGCATCGACTGCCGCGAGTCCTGGTTCGTCGCTGTTTGGAGCGCCTTCGGCCACTGCATCTTCGTCTCCGTTTACGGCTTCTACGCTTTTTGGATCGTCGGCTTCTGCGGGTTCAAATATGTTTGGATCTACTTCGTCTACAACCCCTACTTTGTTTGGATCTTCACAGTTTGGTACGGTTTCTACTGGTACGTCAACTTTATTTGGACCTTCTTCTTCTTCCAATTCGGGTTCGTCTGGTGCCTCAAACTTGTTTGGGTCTTCTTCGAGTTCGTTTGCTACTGGTGCCCCTACGGCATTTGGGATTTCTTCAAGTTCGGCTGCACCTACTTCAGCCTTTTCATCTACACCGTTCGGATCTGCTTCATCATCTTCGGCTTCAACCGCGCCTTCTTTGTTTTCATCTTCTTCATCTACTTCAAGTTCGAATTTAGCTTCCCCTTTTTCTGCGGCACCTGCCTTTTCGTTTCCTGCTGGTTCGCCTTTTTCGAAGGGGACAGGAAGTTCTGCATCTGCTAGTGTTTCATCTTCAACACCTTCTGTGACGTCGTCGTCTTCCAGCTCATCAAGCTTTTCATTCGGAACTCCATCCTCTTCTGGTCTTCAATCTTCTATTGGGTTTGGAAATGCAGCTTCTACTGCTGCTTCAGCGGCCACTCTATCTATTACGCCTGCCGCAAAGCCTCCTTCGATAGGTTTTGGAACTGCTTCTTCGTCATTGTTTTCTACTGTCACGACCACCACCAGTGCTTCGACTCCAGCAGCCACAACAATCCCTTCCTCAATTGGGCCGGCAGTAGCATTTCCCGCTTTTGGTGCGAGTTCTTCATCCTCAACTACGGCTTCAGTGGCTGCAGCGAGTAGTGCAGCTGCTTCATCTGCCCCTACTATTGCCTTTACCGGTTTCGGAACCACCAGCACACCTACTTCCTCGGGCACTACCAGTTCAATTCCAAGTTTTTCACTATCGACGAAGACTTCTACGCCAACCTCATCATCGCAAACAGCTGCTGCCGGGTCTCTTTTTGGTGAGTTTGATTATCCTTCCAAGTTTGAAATATTCAGTTCTTCTATACAATTGCTGTATCTATGTGACTGCAAGGTGATATATCTCTGATAACCTTGTTTGTGTTAATTTATTCTTCATGATTTTGTTCCTCTGCTTCAATGTTGCAAGTCATAAGTATTTTTTGAATGAACTACAAAATAAACCAAGAAATAAGTTATGTTTCATGTTTGAAGATGACTCTCACCATGAGTAAGTGGTTTCAACAGTGAAGATGACAAGCCAATCTTTCTGATGAGAAACGACATAGCTCAATATGGGCTGTAAAGGTTCTACACCATTTTATGCACAGAAATGGTGGTGCATACGTTTTTCTTTTATTTGTTTTCTTGGGTGAAACTAAACTATATGGAAGACGAAAATATAGCAGACTGATAGAAATAGGAAAAGGTACATAAATACATTAAATGTACCCTATAGTGATGACTGGTAAGATTCAAACGACTTTTTGTTATTAGCAAGAAAGTTGAATTTTTAGAAACTCATGCTATTGGAGGAATTTGTGGACTTGCTGTCCTGGGTGTCCCATATCCCTATATGGGTATTTGTCATGACCTGTGAATCATGAGAGATAGTAACATTGTGTTGCTTGGGGTACACATGGACTATCGTGATATTAGCACCCATAGACAGCTGGATTCTTTTCTAAGGAGAGCCTAGGATGGTTTTTGTACTCGTTTTGGCTTTTCTCATGGTAAGATTTAAAAATGTGTTCCCCATTATTGATATACCCTGATAGCTCTGCATTGAGTTGTCTGCCTGGTTTTGGTTTTGTGCAGTTCAATTTTCTATAAGAATGGCGTGAAGTGCTTAATAGCAATAAAATTTGATGACATCTGAATATGGGATCTCTTTCAGTTTGAGACTTCTCTTTCAGTTTGAGACTTTGAGATGATGCCCTGTCCTTGTTTATAGATTTAATTGAAACATTTCAGTTAAATGTAATGAATTAATGCCCTTTTCGTATTCAATTGTCTAACACACTTTTCTTAGGGGAAGAGCGACGTGTGCTCTTTTAAAAGAGTTGAGAACTCATTCAAGAAGTTAAGAGATTGCTTTCGGAAGTTACCTAGTATGGTGACTACAATCACAAGGAAGGCTAACACTTCCTCTATAAACTTTCTTGGTTTTTGTAGAAAATTTGGTGTCTCCTTTTAGGGGTTCGCATTTTTAAATTGTCTACAAAGCATGAACATGGATATCTCACTCTCTAGCATTATCAATAATACCTTAGCGGTGAAAAGGAAAAATAATTCTTTGCGCTTCCACATATTACGCTTAAAAAGTTTTTTTTTGGGCATGCGATTCAGCTTTTCACATTCTTTGAGATAATAGGTCTTTGTCAAATTATCTAAACATTTTGTGCCCATTCTGTGATGTCTCATGCGCTATTGCTTATGCATCTGCAACTTGGTTTATTTTTGTAAGTGTCCTTGGTTGGTAGGATCTCAGATTGTGTTATCCTTTTCTAATAACCACTTCATTTCTTAATTTTGCCCAGGAGGCTAGATTTGTTAGCTCTGCTTCCTGTCTGAAGTTCTGTGATCATGCAAATTTTTTCTGCAGGTGTACCTGCATCTACTTCTGCAGCTGCAAGTTCTTCTAGTACCAGTACTGCTACTCAGACAACTTCATCCCTTATTGTTGCTTCCAGTAGCGGGTTTGTATAAATTTTTTTATTTTTTTTTCTTTTTGAAATTTTTCCTTTTTTACTAAAAGAAAAAAAAAAAAATTCTGGCAATGATTCTTTAGTTTTCCAAATGATCCTTCTTTCAAATTTGATTTTAGTAGAATGATAAAGAGAACTACTTCTCAAAAGGTTTTAAGTATAGACCTACCTAAGGTCCTAAACTTGCCTGGATAGCACTTAAGAGAGGGCTTGTTGGAGAATGATATTGACCAAACAATGCCCTCCATTTCGATTTTTTTTCCTTCTCATTTTGTCTTATCAGTGTTTCATTCCTTGAAAATGCTTGATAACATATTTTCCTCTTTTGGTTTATGGGTGTCTTCAGTCAATTTTTTTTCTTCATTTAAGTAATGTTAGTAACAATGTTGGACATGGAATCTAGCTTATCCTGTTGTGTTCTGCTTGTGCTGTAGGACAACTTCAACTGTCAGCACGGGTGTATCCCCGGCTCCAAAATTACCGTCTGAAATCACTGGGAAAACCGTTGAGGAGGTAGTATATGTGTTCAATTTCTCTTCATATAGTTGTGTCCACTTCTTTCAATTTGTGGATCAAGTCACTTTGCATAAGGCAGTCAATGGTAGTTGTTTGTCTCTTTTTTAACTAAGCTATCTTTCATGGAACAATAGTTGTCTAATTGTACCCTTGAATCCAATATTTTTATTTTCTTTCATCTTTTTATTTCCCCGACTTTTGGTAATCCTTTATATTCTTAAATATTTATTCTATTGTTATCTAAAGATCATCAAAGAGTGGAACTCTGAGCTACAAGAGCGCACTGGGAAATTTCGAAAGCAGGCGAATGCAATAGCTGAGTGGGACAGGAGGATCTTGCAGAATCGTGATATTCTTCTTAGGCTCGAGGTGATTTATTATTTCTTTGAGGAAATTTTGGTATATTGGATCGATACATCAAAGATGTGGTTAACTTTGTCAAATGCAAACCATTAAATATTATTCTAGATGCTTTCATGGCCTTTTCTTGTGTATTTTGGTATGACCAAATTCTTGTCATTCTCATATAGTAGGTTTTTTATTTTTTATACATATGTGATATCCTTACGATTTACTGTAAGATTACCGTATGCCTTATTTTTGATACATCAAATGAAAGCTTGAATTCTCTTGCCACAAAGCTGTAGTTAGGAGAAAAGTACCAGACATCTGATGTATCCTTATATTGATGCCTTATCGTGCTTAGCTTTCTGTATGTGTTACAAATTGGAATGGTGAATCGGTATTCGAACAACAACCCACACCCCACCCCCCCCCCCCCCCCCCCCGCCGCGCCTCTTTTCTCTTACACATCACACTAATGTTGCATGTTTAACTGTAAATTCAGACAGAAGTGTCTAAAGTGGTGGAGACACAAGCTTCCTTGGAGCGACAACTGGAGTTAATTGAGACTCATCAACAGGAGGTATATTAATAAAAACTTTCACGTATGTTCTTGACTGTAAAATTCTTCTCATAATATTTTGTATTATAAGAAGCTTTGCTTGTTATCGTTCTGTATCTGTTGCAGGAATCTTGGTAGCCAAATAATTTTAAAAGTAATTTTCTTCTAACTATGTCCAGTTTAATTGTATCGAAAGATAAAACTGTCATTTTTGCCCTACCGTCACAGTTCTTTGTGTGATAAATCTGTAATAGGCCTGTTGTAGAGATGTTAAAAAAATGTCGAACTGTTGTTGCCTCATGGCCCTCATCATATCACCCATTGAAGTTAGTCCTTAGTTTTCTCGAGTATGTTCACTTTTAAATTTTATCCATGTTTATAGCCACTCCATCCATCCAAGTATTTTATCCTGCCATACTTAAAGTTTTTTTCCTTTGAAAGCGTTTAATGAACATTTCGTAAACTTGAGTAGCATATTTCTGCTCTAGTGACCTGCTATATAAACTTGTACGGATTCATTGAAATAATGGTCTTTGTGGGTCTTTCAATATGGAAAACTTCGGAAGCTCATCCACAACCGGGAGTAGGGCAACAATGCAGAAAGAGCATATTCAGGTTTCAAGCAGCTGGTGTAATTTCAAGGAGCTAAAGAGGACTTGTTTGTATTTATAATAGGTTTTGGGTTTATAAGCCTCAAATGTTTGATTGAAACACATATACCTTGCGGCTTGGTATATTGCTGCCGCTCACTCAGGTCACAAAACCATACATATTTGTTTAGCTCTTGGCCAAGTCCACTTTTTTCTTTCTAAATTAACAAATTAAGCTCACATAATATTTTAATAGAATAAACTCTTATGAATTTATCATTTGAATTTTTAATACAAATTACCAAATTTTTTTTACTTGTTTGTGAATGAAATTATGAAATAAGATATCCTCAATAGTGACCTAATTACTTTGATAAAATAACTAAATGTCATAATCTAATGCTACTCACCTATTAAAACGTTGAGAGAAGATAGAATAACATGTCTCAAATCTGGATTCGTGTTTTCATATACTGAATAGTTATGCATTTCAAATGATTTGAAAATATTTAAATCTAGATTAAGGCTGACGGGAGGCTACCTTCACTATAGTTGTCATCAATTCTTATTTGTGAGTGATATACATTTTTAATTAGATTCTATTGTTAGGTTGATAAAGCCTTGCAGAGTATGGAGGAAGAAGCTGAGCGTATCTACAAAGATGAGCGCGGAGTGCTTCTTGATGACGAAGCTGCATCCACAAGAGATGCGATGTGAGTATTCAACTCAATTAGTTCTTCTCCCAACTATTTGGGTCAATTAAATAAATCTTGTTTTGACATTCTGGTCAAATATATCTAGGGCCATGCTCTCTGGCCAAGCACACGATGCTATCTATTTCCAAATTATCTTAATGAATGCCGATTTATTTTACTTATCAGAAAAAGAAAAAGAAAAAAAAAAGAATGCCGATTCTAGTTTCCCCTTACTCTGGTATCATCCAAAAGTGGTTTAGTCAATTAACTAGGGAAAAAATAAGTGTCTAGTCAATTCATACGGTATGCAATGGAAACAGTTTATTGATTTTGTTTCACTTAAGATGGATTTGAGTGAGATGCTTTAAGTTTCCGGATTATATAGAAATTATTGAGGGAAAATTTGTGCCAGCCGGAATTGTGGGGATTTATTGATACAAGTTAATTCATACGGAATCTATAAATCCTATTCCTGCAGTCTTTGGTAATGAACCTGTTAATCTGACAGTTTACCGGATTGCAGTTTACTTTCTCATAATTAATTAATAATTCATAAATTAATAATCTCTAATGATTTATGTTATTTTTGGAAATGAACTTATTTTAATGACAGATTCTTGATAATTATTTTACTTGTAATTTCACTTTTTTCTTTTTTGGAGAATATATAGGAACATTCATATACATCTACATATGTATTCTTATAAAAGAAATATAGCCTTATTTATATTTAGTTAATTTTTTAATATCGGTTTATAACACGCTTCCTGTCTTTGTCTGATGGTATTTGGTCTACACTATTGCATGTATACGTACCCTGATGTCTTGTTCATTTGAAAATGAGGATACTTGCAGTTATATAGGCGTTTGACTGTTTGGGGATGTGAGGGCTGTCTAGTATGTATGTGTATGACCAATCATACGTCATCTAAAGCTGTCAAGATTCATAGTTTGTGCACTGCATCACTAGGTTACATGTTCGTTGATCATACATGGATTAGTTGGTTGGCTGAGGATGCATTTGAAAAGAAGGCACCACAATGTCTAGTGCTTTTGAAAACATGGATACTTGCAGTTATATGGGTGTTTGACTATTTGGGAATGTGAGGCTGTCTAGTTTGTCTGTGTAGGACCAATCATACCTCATCTAAAGGCTGTCGAATTCATAGTTTGCACACTGCATCACTTGGTTACAGGTTTGTCGATCATACATGGATTGGTTGGTTGGCTGGGGATGCAAAAGAGGGGATGAGCTAGTGAGATACATCTCCTAAATTAGGTTGACAGTTTGAGATCGGCAATTTTTTATAATTGTCACCCAGAACGGTTCGAGTAAATTTATTTCCGTCTTTTTATCATTGGATCTTTGTATAATACATCTTGTGTTTTGTTTGTAATGCAACCTAAGATTATCAATATTAGTATTCTGCTCTCCATGTATTAACCTTTTTGATTGCTATTAGTTCCTGTTTTTCTATTCAAAAGGCATGGTATTGCTACTAGTTCTTGCTTTGCTTCCTCTTGTATGCCCTCCGTGCACCAAATTTTCTTAGAGAGGGTTCTTCAAAATCTTCATTCATCACTAATACTAACACAATCACCAGCTCCTCATCTCTGTATACAATTAAATGTATCTAGCAGATTGATTTTCTTGTTTCAACTTTGTTTCTTGTATCATCTTGATTCAATACTAGAAACTAGAAACAAGTACTCTCCTTTAAGCCCGAAAACTATACAATGCAGTTGCAGCTGTTTTACCCTCAGGATTGTGTTCAACAATGGATACAAGCTTGATAACCCTTTCCAACCAGTGTTTAAAAAAAAAAAAAGGTTCGTGTTACATCCATTAGTGAATGTGGATGCTCTTTTTGCAATGGTCAAAACATTTGTTTTTGCAACACCATATGCTTTTTATGTTGCTCCTAGAGCCCATTCCTTTTTGATGGGCTATCCGTCCATGAGGCGGCTCATATTCTAATAGCCATTGGGACTTTCCTGGTCTATTAAACTTCTGTCTTGTACTTAGTGAGGCCCATCATGCAAGCTTAATAGCAGAATATCAACTTGCTGTTTTTATTGAAGATCTACTTAGTTTTATCAGATTCATACTCACGAGTCATAATGATTTTATTAGAGCCTATTAGTTTGAGTACTAGCATTATGAAGTAGTTTGGTGATGCATCATTTTGCCACCATTTATTTAACCTCATAATGACTAGGGAAATTTTTTTCTAAAATAAAAATGGTGGTCAAATGGCCAATATCTATAAATAAATAACCACATATATAGAGCATTTATGAGGAATACTTATATTTCTATTCTTTATGTAATTTCAGGTATGATCAAGCTGAACTCACAGAGAGAGAATTGGAACAGATGGCAGAACAGATCAAGTCTATTATTGAGACTCTTAATACCAACCAGGTACAAACCTTCAGTTTAGTCATCCTACCATTTTCCCTGATATTTTAACAGATAATAGTTTAACTATTTTGCTTCACTTAGGGTGGAGAACTCGACATGATTGATGGGATGACTCCATTAGATTTTGTTGTTCGGATTCTGAACAATCAGCTAAGTTCCCTGATGTGGATTGATGAGAAGGTACCTTTTATAATCATTCTTCATCATTCCTTCATACGTGAGACCCGTTTGCTGCACTTGCTAGTTTAGTTAGTGTGACGGCTGCTTAATTTTCCTCTAATATTACTTCTCTCTGTAGGGGAGTTGAGATGTTAAATATGTTTTACAGTGTTGTCAGTTTTCAAATGTTGTGAAAATTTCTATAATTTTTTAGCATTCCTAAAATATCTATGCTGTATGTTGTAAAATGTAAAATTTCCAATTTGTTCTGTAATTTTTTTTTCCCCGAAACCCAAAAAGAAAAAAAGAATGTTCTCTGTTAATTATCTCGCACTTTGTCCAGAATATAATTGTCATTCACATTTACTGGTAACTCATATATATATATATATATATTTTTTTTCTGCAACATATTTGATAAATAAAAGAATTTGCTTGTAGTTATTGTTCTTGCAGATAAGTCCATGTTCCTTTTTTTTCCCTTCTTCTTTATGCACTTTTGCCTTATGTTTTTCAGATTTCTTTTCAAGCACCCGTGTTCAGTGTTCACGTCATCTAATATCTGTTTGTAGCATATCATGGTTAATTAGTTTTATTCATTTTCTGAACTGCTTATTAAATCATCTTCTCTGTATTTCTGAAAGTTATATTTCCTTTTCCATTGCCCGAGCACTGACCTACCTCCCTTAAATCTTCAGGCTGAGGAATTCTCCTCACGAATTCAAAAGCTAGCAACCCAAGGTTCTGCAGCAGACCGTGAAGGTTCGAAATTTTGGATGACTTGATAAGGAGTAAGTGGAGACTAATCTTGAAAACAAACGAGTTCACAAAAAAAAGTGAAATGTAGAGTGCAAGATTACTTTTTGTGATAATTGTAGAGTGTGACATTGAAGTACAATTGTATCACTTTTTCCTTCTGCTATGCTCTTTTGCGTAGATGATTTGCTTGAGGCAAGGTTACAAAGATTAATTGTGTACGTGCACACTTTGGTGTGGTTAGTGTGCATATATGTATATATGTGTGTGTGTATTTTTTTGGCTATTGTGGATTACCTCTAAGTCTCTCTGGTGACTCCACCCAGTGAGCTCTTGGAAACTTGGGCCCGGGTTATATACAATATATCTCCTAATGACTAAGGAACAAAATATCTCACGATCCAACTCGTTTTTGTGGCTTGGTAATTAAACATGAAGGTACAACTCACACAATGCACGTGGTTTTTGGGTTTTGGTTGCTCAAAATGGGCAGAAGAGACTCTACATTCAAGAGCTTGTACAGAAAAACCTATTGTCAATTCGTTAGTTGAATAGATAGTTCATATTGGTAGGATCATCAATTTGGTGTGATGTTAGGCTCTTAAGAAACATTTAATCTGACATGTCAGTATAACAGGCTAAGAATTCCCTGAAATAATAGCTTATTTTTATTTTTAGCTCAGGGTTCGCTTTTGAAATAATTTAATCATCTCATGCGTGTGTTGTATAAATATAAAGCGGCAAACCTAGTGTACCAGTCTTTTATTTTGGAATGGTTAGATGTACGTAGTTTTATTCAAAAGTGTTTGTGTGTTTCGTATTAGTGATTTCCGGTAACTTTATCTAGAGAAGTTGTTCTGATTCGCCCTCGGGTTTTATGTACTACTCCTTCCATCCCTTATAAGTAGTCCATTTTTTTCTTTTATACTACTCCTATCCCTTATAAGTAGTCCATTTTTCCCTTTTAGCGTGTCCCAACTTAAATGTCCACTTTGAAAAGTTAAATAAAATAAATGTCATCTTTTCATTTCTAAAATTTTAAAAATCTTACAACTTGGTGTTATATATATATATTTAACAAAATCTTGAGTGACTTAAAAGATTATATATAGGTAAGTGAGTATATATAATTTTGGATGCATGAAACGCACCATGTTTGCGCTTTTATTTATTCAGATAATAGAAAAATGTATAGGCATATGATTATACTGTATACTTAAAAGATAAAAAAAAAAAAAAAAAAAAAAAAAAATCATTTTCAGGTTTTGCATGTTGATAAATTTTTATACTCAATGAAATTGCTAAAATATTTGTCTTTTTACAAACAATAAAACACTTTGTAGGTGCAAAAATTTGTCAAACTTTGAAAAGTCAAAGAATAGGAACAATGCACTCAAAGAAAGTAATAACCGAGATTGAAGTTTCAACCTTTTATTGAAGGTCTAAACTTCTATTTATACTAGTTTTTAAAACTCCTATAATTGCAATTTGCGTGATTGATGAACTCAAACAGATGAACCTTCTAGATGGCGATCTTTGGATCAGGCTGAAGATATGGAATTAGTCCATCTTACCAACTGGGCCGAAAGATTAAACCCTTCCATATCTTTGGGTCTACTTCGTTGGGCTTTTAGAGTCGGGCGACCTCAAGGAAATATTGTAAAAAAATGCGTGTGTTGACGTGGTCAGTGAGAGTTTTTTCTCCCCACACTTGAAATTCTGCAATTAATATTATTAAAATATTTCCTTTAAAACAAAAATCATATATACCGTTTTTTTTAAAGAAGAACCATGGTATTTTATTAAAGAAGTCAAATGTCATTCACCACCAAAAGCTATAATTTAGTAGTATTTTATTTATTTGAGTCTCAACAACATAAAATAGGTGTGTTAATTTGGCAAATGGTTACTTAGCATTTCTCTTGACTTAAGCGATTAATATTATTATTTGTATAACGTGATAGTTTTAAACTTTGAAGTGTTTTCATGCTTATTAAGAGAATAAGTCTCTTTTGTTTTCAAAAAATTGAGCTACATTCCGTTTCATAGCATTGCTGTAATCCACATCTCATATTTTTTATATGATAAATTATTGGTCTCGATCAATCACATACAAATAAAAAATAGCTAAATAAAACTAACACTGACACATTTATTTACGTATCAGCTACTACTGATTGATGAGATACTGAAACTGTTATAATAAATTTTCCTTTAATACAACTATCTAAATACTTTACATTTGGCTTAAGCTGATACCTTCACGAATAAAATAAATTGCTACAACTTTGTTTTGGTTTCATGGATATTTGGTGGGGCTAAAAGAAAAAGAAGACAAGTGAAGCCCAAAGCATCTCCAATGGTTTGTTACTTTGACACATCACATGTGAAGCACGCAGAGGACTTGGTAGTGTGAGGCTATTGAGTGTTTAACTTACCAGGAAGGGCATGGAATCATGGTGTTTGTAGCGTGAAACAAAGGTAATCTCTCTCTCTCTCTCTCTCTCTCTCTCTCTCTATATATATATATATGGTGCATGAAAAGAATAGTACTAACAATAAAATAAAAATTCAAAGAGAGCTTAAAGAGAAGGAACAAAAAGGAAACATATAGTGTGGATGAACGCAACCCAAAAGCAAAAGGTTATGGGATAAGCTGTCTTCAATGCTGAAATTGAGTGAGGAGTTACTTATCCTTGTTTGGTTGCCGAGAAAATGGAGGAAAATAGGGAAATTAAAGAATTCGAGCGTCCTTTTTTTTTTTTTTAGCTATAGTGTCTTATGTGTTTGTGTCACCTATCTAATTTAGGGTTTCTAAGCTACTTCTTTTCTTTTTGTTGGAGGGTTTTGGAGTTACTCAAAGATTAGGTTACTAGAAAATCGAATCTTCATGCATTGCAAATCAAGATTATGTTTCTTTGTTAATGGTGGTTAGGTTGTGATGAACATTTTTATTAGGTTATTACTAGTGGCTTTATGTGGTGGCATTAAATGCATGTGAAGCCATTTGGCTTTCACTTCATGGTAGACATTGTTAGTGGCTAAAATAGAAACATCATGATTTGCTTGATTTTACACCAATCCATTCACTAAATACAATTAACTGTTCTTATTCTTTTAAATTTCTTTATATGACTGGCTTTCAATGACCCAACCTTCCATTACACATTTTTTCCCCATGCAATACACTAATGGGTGATTTGTGAATTAATAAAGTTTTGGATTCATCAAGCCCTACTTACTAGAATCAGATCGAGCTTGGGTGCGTTCACGATTTATATAGTGCTTGTATTTGGGCATAACATCTATAGTTGAATATTAGCAGGGTTAAGAAAGTGTCAGATTTATGCAATCTTACCTTTGGGCGTAGAGAAACTATTCAAGTCCCTGACCTCTAACTTTGCGGTTAGATCTTTTTCTTTACTAAATGTCAAGGAGATCTAACCACATGTTAGATTTAACTAGCTAGCATCATACTAGAATCAGATTGAGCTCAGGGATGTTCAAGATTTATACAGTATTTGTATATAGCCATAACATATGTAGTCGACCATTAGCAGGGCTTAGAAAGGGTCATATTTTCGCAATTTTACCTTTACGTGTAAAAAATTTATTTAAATTCGTGATCTCTAACTTTACGATAAGATATTTTCCTTTACTAAACGTCTATTTATCTCGAGATTTTCATTGTAGATTCAACTAACATCTTTCCATCCATAGGAATGTTTCAATCTGTTATTAAAAGCAGTTAAAGATACAAACATATTAACTTACCAAAAAAACATATATATGCCATCAATTACTGATCTCACTAACTCTTACCACTGAGGAAAGGACTTTGGCTTTATTACATGTCTACTTTTGTTTCACACTGACATTGTTAGGTAAGTGTCTGGTTAGATGAGCAATATCACGATAATTGTATGCCACTTGCCTCATCTCTTCACATGCCAAACTCAGCCAAGTCCCATGTTGCCATTCTTCCACTTGCAAACTATAAGCTTGAAATTGTTTAATAGTGGAGGAGTATTGGTATCAAAACCGATTGGTTTTTGTAGTTATTTCAATAAATAGAGTCTAATAAAGAATTTTTTTTTTTAATTTTTAAAAATAATAAAATTTAAGGCCTTGTTTGGTTTGTAACTCTGAGAACAAAACTGAAAATGAAAAATTACACAAAAAACTCTGCTTGATTCAATTTTCTGAAAATTATTTTTTTAAAACTCAGTTATAAAAAGATTTGTTTTCAGAGAATTGTCTTTTATTGTTCTCTGAAAACTGTTTTCGGTTTTTTAAATTCTTGAGAACTGTTTTCAGAATTACAAACCAAACAAGTTTTAAGTGTTTATTCCAATTCCTAAATCTTCGTCAGGTCGATTGTATAGTTAGTATAACAAAATTGTCCATTATATTATTTTCCTTAGTGAATAGCTTAAAGTTGAAGGAATTTACTAATGACCTTAGATATAATAATAATTCATGAGTAATTCTTAAATTTACCCAATCCCAATGTTATCAAAACACACACACACACACACAGAGTAATGTTCAATTTTGAATTGCCAAGTTGATGAAACTCTTGACTGGAATAGGTGTTGGGAGAGATAGTGGGTTGATAATTGTCCCTATAGCTGATTTAGGCCCATTTTATAATCACTATGTTCCTTAGTAGTCTAACTGTTCAACAGACCACATTGCATACAAAATATGGAATCATTGTACCAAACAAGAATTATTTTTATTTTAGTGTTCTTTAGAATTCCCTCTTATCATATTTAAAGAATTTATTTTCTATTGAATCATTCATTGGAGAATCAAAGCTTTTTGTCAAAGACATTAACTCAACCAAGCTAATAATGTCAAGGCTTTATGAGATATTGTAATTACGCCACAATTTATGCAAGTTTATTCACGATTTTGAATTTTCTTGAGGAAGTGGTAATTTTGCCAAGACTTTAGCATAAAATTTTGTGCTCTTGAAATAAAATCTAAGAACCATGTAGTCCTTAGTTGAAATTTCACTAAAAATTCAACGAGTCATTGAGTCATGAAATAATGTTCGGACACATCCGATTCTGATAATTTGAGTGGAGTGTGGGTCTCACCATGATGTCTACTCTAAATCACACAATTCTTCTCAATATGCGCGCTCCCGCTTAAATTCTCACTACTTATGACTTAATTCTGTCGCTCTCACGCTTTCGCTCTCGAATTCACTCCCACTTTATGTGACTTAGTATCTACCTTGACGAATCAGTTGAAGAAGTAGAGAAATTGTTGATAGAAGTGCCACATTCTGTGAGAGAGTCACTGCAATTTTTGGTTCATGGCAAATCTGCTGTGGGACTCTCAAAAGTACTCAAAGTCACAACTATTGTGAGATTGCCCATATCACAAGATTGGAAAACCTCTTAGAAACCCACTAAGTACTACTAATGATTTGAACACAACTTTAGACCAAGAGGTGATAGTGTGAGGTTTCTCTTCAATGATCATAATGATGATGATGTAGTGTTTGTTAGAAATTTGAAGGAAAAAAAGGGTAAGAGTTAAAAGATCACATTGTTGACTCATTCTTTTTGTGTGGAATTTTTTTTTTCTTAAATATAAATTTATTTACGGAAAGTTACCAACATGTAAAATCAGTGCGTTTGTAAAAATATTCGATTTAAATGATAAGTATAATTTGTCGGTGATTGCACATATTTAAAATTGACAAACCATCAGAGAATCCAAACTGACTAATAGATGAGTAAATTCTTCATAAAAAATAAATAATAAAGAAAAAAAATGAAGCAATAAGTTTGCAAATGAAAGATTGTTTAGTTTATTCTTAAAAAAACCTCCAAAAAAAGACCAAGAATGGGGGTGACTCCAAACCCCACCACTTGGTGGTGAGAATGAGAATGAGAATAGTGAAGTGTCACTCACTCACTCTCAAACAAAAAAAAAAAAAACTTAGCCCTAGCTTTGGTTTCTTTTCCCTTTTTTTCAATCTTTTGAATAAGGAACAATTCAAGGACCGACCCACTGACTCGTGACCATCACACCACACCCACACCTCCCAACCATAAAGGCCAGCCAACCCAACCCAACCTGTCCTATCATTACTACTGTTCTTACAGTTTGGTAATGTTTTTTTATTTTTTTATTTTGGGTGATTAGATCAGCATTTAAAGGATGGGTGTGGGATAAGAGGTAGATACATCATGGGATGTTGTTGAACACCCAAGAAAAAAAGCTTCCACTTTTTATTATGAATATATATATATATATATATAACCAAATGGGGTTTTCAGTGGAAATATGTATATGTATATATTTGTATATAAAGACAATGGAAAAGTATCAAAGAAAGGGCGGTATATTCTAGCACTTATAAGTTGTTGTTACCCTTTTTTTTTTTAACCTTTTCTTTTCATGTGGAAAGGGGGATGGGGTAGGAATCTTAGTAGGAGTTCCAGAGAGAATATTAGTATGATAATTTTGACCTCTAGGAAGGCATGTTAGCATAAAGAAAATGGCACTGATTTTTTTTTTTGTGAGTTTTCAAATTAAAGTTATTTTTTTTTTTTTTGAATTTTACCAAATTAGATATTTGGAGATAACAAGAAAGGATTGAGTTCAGATGTTATGATCTACCAAGGGCATTGTTGCCCAATGATATCTCATTTACTTCCCAAAATAGATAGTGAGGGTTCCAATCTTTAAATGAGCAAAGTGGGTGTGTGACAGTGTGAGTGTGGTGTGTGTAAGTTTTTTACCAATGATTAAAAAAAAAGGAAAAAAGAAGAAGGATGTTATGATCTATCCACCCGAAAGGGGATTTGACTGTTTGTTTGAAAATAAAAAAAAAAATAAAAAAATGAAATGGAGTGTTCGGAACTTTGCCCTGAATAATTTAAAGGACCCGTGTAAAGTCGTACCCATACAGAACAGGTAAAGTTCGAATTATGTCCACGAACGTGAATTCTAAGAAATTGTTTGCACCTATAAAGAATTGATTCTAAAACTTGATATTTCATGAGACACTAAGCTAGACTATTTTTTCAGTAGGCCAATCTCTTAGAATTATCATATGTACTGTTGATTTCTTTTTGTCTAAATGATTCTCTCGATAAACATCTAATGTTAAAACAACTCGAGCAAATGTTAAAAAGTGAGAGTGGAATCTGCATCTTTACACTTTTATGATTGTAGCAAGTAATATCTCTCTTTTATATTCTTCTACTATCCAACTTGAATAAATATTTAATGGACATAACATGATGGGTTTAGCTGTCATTTCTCATTGTGACACCGTTCTGTTATGCTAGCTCTTGTAAAATGACAACAGAATTGTCATGCTAGGCCTAGCTCAACTCTCTCTTCCTTAGCTCTCCTAAAAAGTCCCTACTCTAATTACCAGTTTTCTACTTGAATTTATTCTCAATATTATTTAAGGAAATTATTGCACTCCTTTCCAAATGGACAAGTTTAAAAGTCCTTTCAGGATAAGAATATATATATATATAATTGATGGCTAATGAGTTGTCTTAAGCCAAGCGATAAAATTGTTTCATTGCGGTTACTTGGGCCGGAAGATCACAGGTTTGAAATTAAAAATTTCCTCTTTTTAGTAATACAGAGTATTACTACATACATATTGATTTAGGAATTGAATTTTGTTATTAATGTGAGGGAGGTGATGAGTCCCATCACATGATATCACAGATTCGTCATTCCATTCATATAAATTATATTCGATAACTTCCTAATTTAGTCCATAAATCATTATTCATTTATATATATGTATAATGTATATAAATGATTGTAATACATAGTTTAAAAGTAAGTCACTTTCAATTATATTTATGTGAGTAAAAATGACATTATCAATCATAATAGCATCATAAAATAGTCCGATTAATCCGAGAGTTAAGACACTTTATTATTTTTCAATATTAATTATCTAAAATATGATATAATACTATTTTAAAATATTAAAAAAAAATGAATATAATATCTATAATCTATAGAGATGGTCTCATATACTATTTATTATGGTATTCAATGAATGTGACATAAGTTTCCATATAATTTATAGTGCGAGGCTTGCATGAGCCGGAGACCTCGGTCATGCCAAACCAATCAAACAATATTTCTTCAGTAAAACAAGGGATTTTGCACTTATCTTTTTCAGATTTTCCCAACCATGGAAATGAAAACATTAATTGGTAAAATTAAATGCAACCACAGAGGATAATTTAGTCATTAATTAATTAATAAATCACTCTCTCTCTTCACTCTGAGCTGGGCATTCAGATCTGTAAGTAAAGCTTAGAACAGACACAGACAGAGACAGGGGAGGAAGAGAAAAGATGAGAGAGAAAAAAGAGAGATATAGGTGTTAGCCACAGAGAGCAGATAAGAAAGAATTAGCTTCTTCTTCAACTTCACCTACTGTACAGTCCCAGTGCTGACATATGGAAGTTACTTTTTTATATTATTAAATAATACTTTTTTGGTTCTTAGTTCTAAGAATACAATTTTTTTTTTTTTTATTTTTACAAAAAAAAAAAACAGAATTACAAAAACAGTTGCCTAGAAAAACTTTGAAACCTTAACAAAAACTATTCCGTTATAATATTGTGAGTCACAGCTTTCGAAGTATTTAATTATTTTGATTTTGAAATTATCAAAGTATTAGTCGATAAATAGACAAATTCACCGTACTCACACATGCATACATACTTATGGAGCTTATAACCGAAATAAGTTAATGTTGCGTTTTAAAAGCACCGAATAGCATTTTAGAATTGAAATTAAACTTGTAATTAAAAGAAATGTTGTGTTTACGGGCATTGAATTGACGTTTTAAAATTAAAGTGGAAAAAAATCAATTTAAATTTTGAACTAAGATGCCATTTCAGTATTCCAAACAAGGCATAAAATAAATTTCTCTGCTAATAGATGTTCCAAGTCAGCTGGTACAGTAAGCATAATTCTTAGGGAATCAGTTACAATAATATTATTTATGAATGAGAATAAAGAAAAACCAATTTGTCCCAATTGCCCAAAAAAAACACATCCATAGATATGAAAAATTACAAAAAGAAAAAAAGAAAAAAAAAAAAACAAAGAAAAACTTTTACATTTCTAATCAAAGCATTCAGTGCTTGATTGGGTTGAAAATTTCAGCATCAGAAACAGCAGAAAATTCTACTTGACTAACACAATCATCATCAATTGGAGCAGGAAGATTAAGATCTATCAAGTTCTCACCAGATTTAGGGTTAGTAGTAGGATGAGGAGGAGTACTTGATGTTGCTGAAAAAGTAACAACATGTGATCTCTTGTGCCCACCAAGTGCTTGTCCTGATGAGAACACTCTGTAACAAACAGGGCACTCATGTATTTTCTCTCCCGCCATTGTTGAGCTACCTGCATTTCTTGCTTGCACCTTCGATCGTGATTCGAGCGTGTTGTTCTTCTTGTGACTCGCTCTGTGTCCACCGAGTGCTTGATAAGATTTGAACACTTTGTCACATGTTTCGCATTTGTATTTCCCTCGAATCCGAGTTTTGCTCTGCGTTTTCAACTCCGAATCATTACCAATTTTATCACTCTCCTCTGATTCTTCTTTTTCGGGCTCGTCCCACTTGTCTCTCGAAAGCATCATCAAACAATAAGCAACATCTTCTTCAGGGGTGGTGTCCGAGATCGAACTCACCGGTTCCTGCTCTGCCCAGGATGACTCAGTCGCGCCGAGTTTGGCTGATTTCAGCTTTTTCTCTTCTGGGTTTCTCGAATTGTTGTCGTGGAACTGATTCTGCTCTGTAATTCCCGATTTTCGGACTCGTTTGGATCGTCTCTGAGTTGGGTTCTTGGATGACTCGGTCTCGCTCTCTCCATCTTGAAGAACAACGGACCCAGCATCAACTGCATACGAGAAGTGAGGATCTACCCAGCGAATGCTCTTCTTTGGGTTCTCTCTCAACCCATAACCCAACTCTTTCTCTTCATTTTCTTCTTCTTCCTCCGATGACGATGACGAAAAAGAAGAAGAAGCTGACTCGGTCTCATCACTGAGTTGAATCAGTTGATCACTGGGTTGCCGTTCTGTTTTTGGTGGAACATACAGATTCAACATGTGAGATCTCATATGCCCACCCAAAGCTCTACCATTTCCAAACTTCTTCAAACATAGCTTACATCTATATTTCTCCATTATAGAGAGAGAAGCAAAACCCAGGAAAATGCTATGTGTTTCTCTCTCTACTTTCTTTCTTTCCTTCTTTGTTTCTATCACTAAGTTCTTGTGAGAGAGAGTTTTGTGTAACTTCTCTTCTCTCCCTTTCTTTGAGAGAGAGTTCTTGAGAAGTATAGAGAGAGTGGAAGCCAAAAGGAGTAGGTGACAAGCATTCCTCCACCAAGAGAAATATATACAAATATATATACAGAATATATGAATTTATATATAAAATGTGAAAAATATTGGATTTGGATTTCACTTTTTGGAGTAAATTTTCTTTTTAGAGATGAAGAAAGCAATAAATAAGAAGTTAATTGAATCGTATGCATGAAGATAATAAGAGGGAGACATGTAACATGCCAGCGTTGCCCGTTTCTATATTTATTTCACCCTTGACTTCTTATTACTAAAATACCCTTCACTATTTAATTAATTATATATAAAAGTAAATCAAATTTAAATATGTTTAATTTGAAAATTTTGCTATATCCAGGTTCCTGAATTTTGACAGGGTTAAATGTATACAACCTTATCTCTATATTAAAACTTTGTTTTCAGTTTTAAACTCGTGAACTTCAAATCATAATGAAATAATTTTATTGTTGTCCCAAGACTCACCCTCTCTATTTGTATATTATATTATCATATATAAACTAGTTAATTTGAATTTGAATTCGAATTAGAATAAGATATAGATGATTAGAATTATGACATAAAAATATTAATTTGGAAGGTGAAACTTAATTTTATGCCATATTTACTTTCTTTCCTTTTTTTTTCCATATAAATGGTGAAACTTAATTTTGTGCCATTCAAACATATAATTTATGTTTTATTTTTTATTTTAATTTACTTGGTTTTTCTTAATTTTTTTTTTTTTGTTGGTAAAATTGGTTTTTCTTACCTTTTTTTAATTAGAAAATTATAAATGAAGGGTATTTTTGGGACAAAAAAGTGGTGGCTAGCAAGTCAAGAAAATTGCTAGGGTTTGTTGTAACGACGAAGCAGAATAGAATACCACGTGGACCGGAAGACCAAAGCAGTTATCTATTAAAATAATAAAGACCCTCACTTGATTAGAATCACCCGCTGTGACCACAAAGCAAAAGACTAACAAATCAGAACCAATATCCACCGGGTTCACTGTACACTTGTCATCACCACAACACACCACCAAAAGGTAGAACCAAACTGTGCCTTAACTTTAATTTACTCTAATAAAGAATGTAATCATTTAATTAAGATTTTAATTATCTTTTTGCTGGTGATATTAGTGCCAACTGTTGAGTGTACAGAAACCTCCTCATGCCATGTGGACACGTTAATGCCTTTTTACCTTTATTTTATGGTTTTCAGAAAAATGATAATTGTTTATGTTTCACAACATATAAATATTAATTAATTCACCTTTTTTTTTAATTATTTATTATTATTATCTACTTAGATTTAATGTAGACCAATCAAAAGATCCATCAAAATAGGGAATCCACGAATTTTCATATGATTCTAAAAAAGTGTGACCAAGAAATTTCAATGTAGATATTGTATGGTTAGAATTGAAATACAGAAAGAGACTCGGATTTGATGAAATCAAATGAAATTTAATTGGATCCTAATTTTACGAATTATTCTTTCAATTTATCTAATTTATGTGGTACGATAAGGTTAGTTGGGTAATACTAAATTTTTATGATGTGGTCAATTTTTTTTTTTTTTTTTAATTTTAAATCATGACTAGTAGTTATTAGTCTTATTTTAATTGATTATATGTAATTGATTGATACAATTAACTAAAACTGAATTAAAAATGAAGCCTATAATTTTGGATCTTTGGTTGAAATTTCTATGAAAATGAAGGGTGAGAAATTGAGTATGAAACAAACCTCCTTTGAGAAAGGAGTTTTGCAGGGGAGTAAGTAAATGCCGTTTTGTGAGGGGCAAAGTAGACCAAGTCGTTTATCATCACCCACCTTGTGTTTGTATTCTAAGACTGCTTAATTTAGGTTGACACACTACCCACCATTTTGTTTCCTATGCACATCTTCAGCATATCATTAATCCTAACTTATTTTTTGTCTCCTAATTTTAATTGTAATAAATGAAAGTCACTAAAGTTTTTAGGGCCCTAAGGTGGTCACCACTTGAGAGTGAACGCATACTCGTCGTGTATTTATAATGTTTATGTTTATATCAGTGACGTTAAGCAAGCAGTTACTTAACACGATCATCCTTTTTATTAGGACGTGAGACAACTGAATTTAGAATCGATTGTGTAGAAAACACAATGTATTCATAGTATTTTATGTTTATATCGGTAATGTTACGCATTCACTGGACACAACCATTCTTCTTTATCATGGAACAATTGGACTTAGAATCGGTTGTGTAGAGAATACTAATGAAGTTAAAATTTTTTTTTTCTTGATGATAATGTTAGGGGTTAGTGGTTAGAAGGGAGGGTGTAAGGTTCAAACATGAGCTTCTGGATACACAGGAAACAACCCAACTATTCGGCTAGTACAAGCACTTGCACAATGGAGTTACTTAATACAATGACTATTGAATTATTTATGCAATATTCTTTAGAGATAAGGAAGGATGTGAACTTTTTGTATATCGTATGCCTACCTTTTTTAAAACATTTCCAATCGTTTTGGTAGATAGAGATGGCATTGTTAGAGCTGATGCTCCTTTTAGAAGGGTAGAATCGAAGTATGAGAGGATCAAAGGGTATGCAATTCAATGTTATAATATCCTCACCCTCAAAAAAGAGCGGAGGGCTTTGAGCCTCGTGTGGGCAAAAAAGTGTGACTAAGTTGGAATATGATTGAATTTTTTTGTCAATGACAAAAAAAAAAAAAAAAAAAAAAAAAAAAAAAAACCCTTTTTAATAATATAAATAAAAGTGGTGGACTTGATCCCAATTTGTGTTAGGGTGTGACCAAGTGGCCACATGTGAGTGTGAAGGATGATAATGATGAGATTTTTTTTTTTTTTTTTTTTTGTTTTCTTTGTCACAAATGGTAGGATGGGCCAATAAGAAAGTTTTGTGAGAGATGGGTGTTGTTTATATCATAGTCCCACATAGTTTAATTTACATCACATATGAATTAAAGACTTGTCAAGATAGGTAGATCAGGCCAGTATAAAAGAAATCTATGCAATGACTCTAGCAATTTGTTATGGGTGGATCTTTTGATATTAATTTACCATCTAAATTAATCACTAAGCGGTATAGGGATCGTATTTAAATGGTATTTCTTTAACATCTCCAAAAGTGAAAAATATAAATGTGTCTCTTGATATTTTTTGTTGTACATGTATTGTCACATTTCACAATTTAATTGATATGACATTTTATCTCTCATAATTACTTACCCATTTTTTAAGTATGATATTTAAGCATGACGTTGCCAGGCATGTAACCATTATATATCCTGATTAATTAGGGTGTTCACCAAACCTGCATGATTCCTTAGAAATTTCAATAAAATAACAATAATTCCCATAACAAGGTATAGAATATGATGAAATAACTTAAATAAATGTGCCTTCGGAGGCTTGGTAGAGTTGGTAAAGCAACGACTTGAAATGCCATATGTCTCAGATTCGAACCCATCCATTTCCATGATATTCCTTGACTAAAATTAGTGTTGAGGTGCGGGGCCGTCGACAATATCTCCAGGTTTTTAATCTAGGGTGGGTTCCGAAGGGGCTATGCCTAGGTGAGTTCCTGGTGCCAATAAAAAAAAAAAAAAAAAAAAAAAAAAAAAAAACCTTAAATAAATGTCTAAGGTTATCAAATAAACTTATTTATGCAAGTTTTGATAAGCTAGATACTGTAATAGAACATGTTTTTAGTCTCAGTGGCGTAGCGGCGTTGACAGAAATTGGAGAGGTAAGTTTTTGAAGTCTTACTTTCGAGCAACACTCTTGATTTAAATGATGCGTGTGTTGTGAGACTGATTCATGTACTTTATAAAAAAAATTCATGTACTTTATAAAATAAAAAAAAAGCTTTTAGCTACAGAATATCTTATTATAGGATTATTTACTACAATTTTTGACATCATAGTAAATTCTTTTACATTTACTATGAATTTGACTTGGTAATAAATTATATAGTATTAGTAGTAAATACTCTTATATTTGCGACCAAAATGAAGTTGTAGTAAAAATGTTTTGACTACAGAATTTTGAATCCATAATAAATCCACATGTATTTACTACGGAATTTGAATACGTAATAAAGTTTCTAGAATTTGTTACGAAATAATTTCGTAGTAACTTCCATCTATAAATTTGTCGAACAGAGCACATGATAGGAGAGACTAATAAATTTTTCTCTAGTGTTGACCGGGCTGAGTTTATTTTCTACAGGAATTTAAGTGGATTGAAATAGAAAAAAAGGTCAAACTCATCCTTGGATGAAATAGACATCAATTTCTTTTCTAACTGAAGAGTGACGAAAGGTTTCAATCTGGCCTTAATTTTTTATGAATTAAAACTGATTAATTCAAAAGAAAAATAATATTTTTGCCGGCAAGATCGACTAGGTTCAACCTCCCTGAGATGGTACACAATGGTTGGTGGAATTCACAAAGAAGTTGAGTCTAGCAAAATCTGTGTCTCTGACTAGATCTCTGGTCTAATAGGAAGTTTCGTCTTATTCACTCAATCCTTGCTCCCTTTTATAAGAGTGGGGAGATGAAGGCCTCTCACGGCTACAATAAACTCGGCGTGTTTCAACTTCGTGAGTTTTTTTTTTTATGCCCTTTTTTATTTCCTTCAGTTAGATTTATTCCTGTTCGGTTCGTTTTCGGATCACATGGGCGGATCTATTGTTTTCTCCGACTAGATCTCCGGTCTAGGTCGGTTTTGGTTTTTCCCGCCTCGATTTAATCTTTTTCTCCTTGATTTGATCTTCTGTGGGGTTTCTTGGGTGTTGGAGCACCTTATGGTTGTAACTTTGGAGCGGTTGCCGTGATGATGGCCAGCGGTTGCCGTGATGATGGCCAGACCTTTCAGTCTATCCTATTTGTTAGGTTTTTTCATGGTGGTTCTATTTGCAGAGTGTTAGGCTCTGTTTCCTCCACAACAAATCTGGAGCCTGTTTTTCATTTATTTAATTTGCTTCAAGATTTGTATGCCTTTCTAGCTTGACTTTATGCCTCTGTACTGCTATCTTAACTTTAGGCTTTTATGCCTTTGAATGAATATATATATATCTACCCGCTTTGCAAAAATAACATAGTGTGAAGACACTGTTT